AGTTTCTGGCTGAAGAAAAGAGCACCCTTCAGTCCAAGTTAACAGAAGCGGCGGAAGAGAACAAGGACTGCCTCCGAGAACTTAAGAAAATCGTCAGCACTTACAATGTCCTCCAGGGCCAACACAAAATGCTAGAGGAGAAAAACAGTCAACTCTCTCTGGAAAAGCAACAGATGCTAGAAACAATAGACCACCTGAAGGGCAAGGAGCACAAGACCCAAAATGATATGGCCGTTCTCCAAAACGAAAACAACAGAATGAATATAGAAATAGAAACCATGAAAACCAGCATGCTGTTGATACAAGATGAAAGGGCAATGCTAGAGAAAGACATGTACCAACTCCTGAAGGACAAGGGCACGCTCGAGAGTGACCTGAGAGAGAGCAAGCTGGAGATCCTACAGCTAAAAGAGAAGGAGAGACTGGCCAAAGCCGAGCAGGAGTCGCTTCTTCACATTCTGGACGGAGCTAAAGCGGAGAAGCTGAGGCTGGAGGCAACATTACAAGAATCCGCTTCCGCCAGACAGATGTTGGAAAGAGAGCTCGTGGATATTCAAAAATACCAGTCTGCCGCGGAAGAGAAGTTCCTGAAAGACATCAAAATCGCGAAGTCAGAGACAAGCATTTACAAAAGCAACTTGGCAGAAATCAGCAAGGAATGTGAGATGTTGTCCAAAATGGTCATGGAGATTAAGACAGATAACCAGATTCTGAAGGAAGAGCTAAAAAAACACAGTCAGGAAAACACCAAGTTCGAAAATAGCATCAGCCGGCTCACCGAAGACAAGGTGCTTTTGGAAAACTACGTGAGAAGCATAGAAAATGAGAGGGATACCCTGGAATTTGAGATGCGGCATCTTCAGCGAAACTACTTGAATTTAAGTGATAAAGTCTCTTGTCAGAACAACAGTGCATCAAAATCGACTTATATTTCAAGAAGAGAAAAATTCTACTTTGACAACTACGATGCCTACGAAGATGCTTCCAGTCTTAGGAATAGGCCTGTGACTTCTGACTTGAAAGGTGTGTGCATTCTGATAGATAAGTAGAGGCATCTTTAAGACTCTAATGAGCTTATTAGCACTAACCAAAGTTTAGAAATAAGAAGAGGGGCCCAGAGAGGTGGTGGCTTAGTGGTGAGGAATATGTACTGCTCTGGCGGACGACCCACGTTTGGTTCCCGGCACCCATCCATTTGTAAGTGGGTCCAACACTCAGCTTCAACTGCCATCTTCAGGGGATCCAACACCCTCTTTCAGGGACACCTGCATCCACGGATGTGCAAATCCACATGGAAACACATGTATTTACACATAACAAAAAAAATAACTCTTTCAAAGAAGAGAACATAAAGATGAATACAATTTAGTTTTGTAAGATATTGTATCTGATTTGTTATATAATAGAATCATTTAAAAAAATTTTAATAGATACACTGAACGTGTGCGTAGCATCTTTGGGAGGGAGAAGTATTTTAAAATACTTATTAGAAATATAGTCAGCACTCACAGCTTTAAGACATTTTCTTTTTCTTTTTCAGGAACACCACATAAAATGTATCAACGGCTTCCATCCAAGACATGTAAATAAATTTCAAAAGAAATCAGTGTTTTAAAAACATCTTTTCCAAGTAATTTTCCTTCATAAAAAATAATATCATAGTAACTTTTACCTCTGGTTCCAAAGCCCTCATACATGCTTAAACTTGTTTTAAAATAGATATCAGAATTACATTAGAGAGTCAAGAACTATAGAAAAGGTGGTATCAAACTCCAAGCTCACGTGTCGGTCTTTGATGGTTTCACAAAAGCTGATGCGAGAAATGAAACTGTGGACCGGGGAGTAAGGAGAGCTCGCTACTCAAAGCACGTCTGTATTTGTTCTTCACACATATTCCCCCACACAACACAGAGTCACATAGAAGGTTACAGTGGAAGGAGAATCCTGTACTGTCTCAAAAGAGTCAGTGGTTCCCAATCAGGCTTACCCTTTGCTGTACAGGAACAAACTAATCTATTTTGGTTCTGTAATTCCTTGTTGAGTTTTATCGGATGCTTTTCATCCGTTACTTGAAGCAATATTTTTTTTCTCCTTAATACATTGTTATATCGATTTTGATATACCTCCCATTCCTGGAATAAACCCTACCAGGCAGTGATATTATTCTTTGAATGTATATTCCTGGGCTTAAACTTTACATCTGCCTCAGAATTTCTTCTACAAAAGGACATTGGTTGATAGATTTTTCTGGCAACAACTTTGTCTGGTTTTAGTGTGAGGAACCCCTTGGCCTGTAAAATGCTGGGAATGTGGGAGCCACTGGGTGTTTGTAAGTGAATGGTGAGTGAATACACGGCCAACCATCATATCAGAGTCTCACGCTGGACATTCACTTGGTAAGATAGAGATACAGAACAATAGACAATGTGGACTTGTGTATCTCTCCCTAAACAGGAAGGATAGCAAATTTCCTTTGAAGATTTTTAAACAAAATGATTATTGTTTTCCACCTATCTCTTATAGATCTCTAATCAATGTCCTTGATAAGGCATGTCACAGGGAAAACTGGAAGCAGGCTTTCTCAGGTTTTTTTTCCTGTCAACTAGTTTGCATCTTATATTTGATTGTCTGCAAGTAAATACATTGTATTATCCTGATCACTGATTTTGACACAGGTTGTACAGGGGACACTGTAACTGGAAAACATTTAGTAATTCTCTTAACTGTTGAAAACTGAAGAATTTGCCTGGGAACACAATGTAAGAACTTGCTAGCTCTAGGCAACCAGAATGCCTGGCTTCCCACCTCTGGCTGTACACCTTGAACTCAGAATTCTTTCTGGTAAATAGTACAGATAAGAAAAGACTCAAAAATTTGTTCCAATATACATAGCTAGCGCAGGCCATTTATATACATATATAGCTGGTATGAGCTGCAACACTTACATATAAAAGGATCAAGCAGTAGCTATAGAAAGAGCAATCTTGGTACCATTTTCAAAAACCTATACTGTACTAGGGCTGAACTTTCTAGTTGCTTTGAGAATGTCTTGTTCCAGCCAGGCGGTGGTGGCACACACCTTAAATCCCAGCACTTGGGAGGCAGAGGCAGGTGGATTTCTGAGTTCGAGGCTAGCCTGGTCTACAGAGTGAGTTCCAGGACAGCCAGGGCTATACAGAGAAACCCTGTCTCAAAACAAAAACAAAAACAAACAAACAAAACAAAACAAAAAGAATGTCTTGTTACTTGTGTGTCTCAAAATTTCTTCTCTGAGAATTCCATACAGCATATTTTTATCATCATCTTTCCCACCACCCCCAAGTCCTCCCAGACCCTACCCACCTAATTTTGTGTTCTCTCTCATAAACAAACAAACACACAAAACCAAAAGACTGCTGAAAACATGGAGTCCAATTTGTGTTGGCCAACTGCTCTTGAGCTTCTGGCCTACCCAGGAAATGTGGTTGACATGCCCAGCATCATACTATTGAAGAAAACTGATAATCCCTCACCCAGCAGCTGTTATTGGGGAATTGTTTTTGTGGCTTGAACTTATGCGGGTCTTGTGAGTTCATGTGTGCACCTGTCCTGTCATGCCTGGAAGACAGTTGCCTTGGAATCATCCACCACCTCCGGACCTTACAATTTCTCTGCCTTCTCTTCACCTAGATCCCTGAATCCTTGGAGGAGGAGTGTGATAGAGACACCCCAATCAGGGCTGAGCACTCCAAAGTCTCTGTCTCTGCACATTGTCCAGTTGGGGGGTCTCTGTGTTAATATATCCACCCACTACAAGGAGCTTCCCTGATGAGGTGTGCTCATCCTGTCAGGTGTATAATTAGTAGAGAGTTTTCCCCTCTTCTCTTCTTCCTGCCTTCCCATGGTGGATTTGGTCTCAGAGACCTGAAATTTGCTCTGCTGAAGGCAAGGTGATGTCCAGAAATGCTAAAAATGGTCATCCTCCCCCAAAATCCCAAGCTATAGTTGTTACACCAGATGGTGAATTCAAGGATATGAGACTAATACAAATATATATATATATATATATATATATATATATATATATATATATATATGTGCTAAGTTCTTTTTTTACTCCCCCAGCTTCCCTCCTGTGTGCCCCACGGAGTTATCGCTTTCAGCGATAGGATAGATTAACTTAAGAAACATGCTGGCAAGTGACCGGTGCTTTATTGGTGCTTAGGCACAAACTATGGTGTGATTCAAGGTGTGCCTTCCTTACAGGGTTGGAAAGTCAGTCTTTCTTCCACTGATGAGAATGGCTATGTTGTGGGCAACCATCTGGCGTCTCAGTAACAGGGCATCAGTCCATTGTTCCTTTGTAATGTCTACTAAACCTAACTGAGGGAAATAAAGGGTGTTTGGGCTTGTCCCATTTTGTGGGATGCCTCTCTGTTCAAATGATGCTGTCCTTTGCTGGATAGAAGTTTTTGTTCGATAAGGTCCCATTTATAAATTGTTGGTCTTAAAACATGTGTTTTCAGGGACCTGTTCAGGAAGTCCTTTCCTATGCCAATGAGTTCTGTCAGATTAGTTAATTCTTCCACAGTCCAGTTAACATCTACAAACCTTGTTACAAGTATTGAGCAATGTTGTTAGATGGTTTCTAGCACAGATTCATGGATGGCTAAAAAGTTTGTCTCAGTCCTCACTCACTGATGGCGAGTAAGAAAACCACCCAACTCATACCTACATCCTAACTGAACGGAATGTACAGTCTTAAATTGTCCAGAGATAAGACATCAGTCAGCAGACCATTGCCTCTAACTCTGTCACATTTGAGTGGTGTGTGTCCAAGAATGCGTAATCAAGCTGTTTTGCAGGAAACTACATACATAATGCTGTGTGTCTTCTCTCTTTAGAAAAGTTTTATTCCTCATGGATTACACTTCAAGATTTGACTTTTTTTTTTTTGAAGATTATATTCTACCTAGAAATGTAGATCTAAAAATATAGGTCAGCAAGTCCAGATTAAGTCATCATAAGTCATTAGCCAACATTATTTATTAAACAGCATTAAGATCAGGTAGGATATCAGAGTTGAGCCTCATGTTTACATTCCCTTTAACTGCCATGGAGCCATTGCTTCAGAACATTGTGTATTCTCTGAGCTTCCGAGAGGATCTAGAAAACTAACTGCTTTCCCAGCGTGGCTGAGGAGGCATTCTTGTAGTTCTTCACATTCAGTGCCCTAAAATCAGAAAATAAATGCTCATTTAATCTAAGAAGCAGAAAAAAATATGAAATACATTTCACTACTAGTATCCATAAGTTTATTAGCTTTCAAATTAGTAGAAGGATTTGAAACTGGACTTAGGGTGATTATGATCAAGTAAAAAGAGACTTCAATAAGTCTCAATACTTATTAAGTACTTCAATAAAGCTACTAACATACAATAAACTTCTGGGTTTTCTGAAAAACAGTCAATTGCTGCCTCTCTGCTCTAAACATATTCTGAGTGCACCAGAGAACTCTCTCAGCCTTGCTGTTGGATGGAAGAGACCACAGAAAACTAAACAACCCACAAAACACCCCATCTAATTGAAGGTAGGTGTGAGGGAGAAAATTCCAGTTTCATTATCTGTTCTATTAGATGAAGGTGGCAGAGCAGTGGCAGGTGGCTTACAAGAGGACAAGATAAAGGGTATAGAATAAGGGGGGCAGGCCTCCTATTTACAGATCCAATGCTCTGCCAACTGGCCCACACATCGTTCCTAAATGCAGTACCTTAAATAACAAATGTACCCTAATATGCAGAGTAACTGAATTAACCTGGCTGGGTATGGAAAAGCTGCTTAGAGAATGGCTCAGTTTTAATTTGTTCTTGCAGAACATTTTAATTTTGTTAATGCAAAATCTATTTCACTTTACAAAACTGTAAAGTACTTTGAAGAATAGACAACATATATATGTGTGTGTGTGTGTGTGTGTGTGTGTGTGTGTATCAGCTACATTGCCATCATCAACAATTATCAACAGGGTACACCTCCAAACCCTGTTGATCTGAACTACATGAAGAGTCAGGACACACTGCAGTATTGCCATTGGCTCTACACTGCATCTAATGAAGACCTTCCATCACGGCATTGCCTTGTGAGCCACAGACTCTGCCTAATCTGTACAATTTCACTTCTATTTACCATTTGGTGATTTTACAGCTACCGAAATCAAGCATATATTGAAATGATTACTTGACATAAAATCTGCGTGTATTACATTCTAGGTGTTTGCAATGTTGTTACATTTTAAAAGATGAGTTCATGGGAAAAGACATTAATTGCAATATTTCTAATGACATTTAAAATAAATGTACATGTAATAATCACTGGGTTAAAAGCAATAGGAAAACACAGCCTTCTGTAGTCAACACTATTGATGTTTACAAACAACCAAGAAATAACTACGAGTTTAACATCTTACCTAACAATGTAAGAATCATACAGCTACATGAGCAAAAATAGCTGCAATGAAAGGTCTAGCATACAATAACAATCTGCAATAGACCAGCTATAGAGAGAGCTTCAGTAGAAGCTTTGCCTGGGGAGATAAGCCAAGACTGTAGGGAAAGCCAGTAGAAAGCAGGAGGGAAGGATGAACCATCCTATTAGCAGTGTAGCAGGCAGGCTAAATAACAGTTGACACAATATGAATCTCATGTGACCGAAGCAAAGAATGCATTGAAATAAAGAAGGAGCGCAAGACAAGTTATGGCCACACAGGCTTCAGTTTTTCTTACCAAATACTGTAAACTAGACAGCATTAGATAATATACACATATCTCTACTCAAAGCACATTTATATTTTTAGTTGTCTAGAATATATCTTAATTTTACAGGTGGATATTTCAAAGTTTGGGACAGAACTCTCAAGGGTCGTTAGGATTCCACACAGTGGCTGAGTAATAGTTAACATTACTGTGTACATAATATCCAAGTTGTCTCAAGTGACTCATAATGAATACCTTCCATAACATAGACAGCAATATGCAATATGCTGACATTACCTTGTTTTTAAGGTTTTATTTTATGGGTATGAGTGTTTTGCCTGTGTGTATGTCTATGAACCATGTGGTACCTGCAGAGGCCAGAAGGAGGCTTCAGATCTCCTGGATCTAGAGTTACAGATGGTTGTGAACCACCATGAGGGTTCTGGGAATCCAATCCAGGTTCTCTAGGAGCGCAACCAGTGCTTTTAAGCACTGAGCTGTCTCTCCAGCCCCTGTGCTCAGATCTTCCATTTTAAAAATATGTACAATGAGACTGGAGAAGACCAAAGACTTAGAGAACTTGCTGGCTTTGCAAAGGACCCAGCAGAGCCCCCATACAGGCAGCTCACAAGCACATGTACTGGTTAGGGCATCAAAAAGGTAGAAGTATTAAACTTTCTCAGTTTATGGACTGAACATAAGCTAAGCCTACCTTTTGACATTCAGCGCCATTATACTTTCAATGGGTCTGCTTTTTGGTCCATTGGGTGGGTGGAAAATCCTTTCACCTTTCAAAGAAATCGTCTTTCCTACCTTAACCACATAAGGGTCAGCTGAGTGTGCTGGGTAAGGTTCAAATGTTCCTGCTTTCATTCCACCAGCCTATAAGCAAAAACAAGATAGTTTGATATCAGTTTATAAAATGCTTCTATAAAATTGCATTGTCAAGAAGTTCATATGTACTTTTCTAGCCAATGGAGTTGGTTTTGCATTTAAGGAAAGTTTTCCATTCTGTTCAAACCTCAGCAAAGGGTCTCTCTGCTGCCAATTATGTAGGATCTAAACACTTTAATTCTAGTAGTTTTCTATAAAAATGATGAAAATGTTTGTGGAAGATGTTCTAAATGTTCTTCTATTCTGTTACCAAGCATTGTTGTTTTATTACAATTTTAACCAAGCTATCAACTAGTGATTTAGTAAGCCTATTGATGAAGGAATGAGACAAACATAAGCTATATTTCTCTATGGGAGGGATAGGGAGCCCAGCATTAACAATCCCCCACACACACCCAAAGGAATAGCATGGTCATAGATGGTGCGAGGAAAATGTGATCCCTTCCAGAATATACTTAGTGTCTAGTAAGAGAAGTTCATGCAAATATTTCCTACCTATGTGATATCGACCTGAAATTACTTGGACATGTTAAACTGACTTGACAGGATGTTTATCATTATGCTATATAGTCATTAAGATAATTTTATGTGGTGACATATGGGTGTAATTTCAGCTGAGAGCCGAAGATGAAAGATCTTCCTTTTGAAGTCGGCCTGGGCTTCTATTAACTAGATCTTGTGTGTGTTGGTGTGTAATAGTTAGGGGAGGAGGAAAAAGAAGATAGGGATAGAGCTCAATGGCAGAGCATTTGCCCACGGAGAGTGAAGCCCTGGGTTTGATCCATAGTAATGTAAAGAAAAGAAGGAAAGAAGAAGGCAAGCTAACCGATTCATTCTGTGAAATTATAGTCCATTTAATTAAGAATCCTTTTGCTTGCAATATCTAAAGCCAAATATATGCAGATTAAAACTAGACAGTAATTATGTGCATATACTCTTTCTCAAAGTATTATATGCATATTTTTAATAACCAGAATAGTTTTCTGTTTTCAAAGTCCTTGTTTCATAGTTATCACAGAATGTTCAAACACCCTTAGGAAGCGTCCTATGAAAGAACTAATACTAGTATGTACTATTAGCTGAAACACAAATATCCAAGAAATCTTGAATAGGTCATGATAAAATGCATTCTACAAAGGAGATACTGTGCTGGCTAGTGTGTATATCAATTTGACACAAGGTAGAAGTAATCTTAATCAAGAAAATGCCTCATAAGATTGGTCCATAAGGAAGCCTCTTGTACATTCTCTTGATCCATGACTGATATGGGAGGGCTCACCCTTTTGTAAGAGGTACCATCCCTGGTGGTCTGAGTGTGTGTAAGAAAGTGGGCTGAGCAGAACAGTAAGCAATTCTCCTCCAAGACTTCTGATCCAGTTCCTGCCTCCAGGCCCTCTAGTCTCCTGGCCTGACTTCCCTCAGCAACAGATTTGTAAGTGGATATAAACCTTTTCCTTCCCAAGCTGCTTGGATCATGGTGTGTCATCAAAGCAACAATAATCCTAAATAAGATAGAAATTGGTACCAGGGTTGTGAGGTATCGCTGTGACAGACCTGACCATATTTGGGGGGAAGGAATATGGAAGGGATTTTGGAACTTTGAGTTAGAAAGGCTATTGAGTGGTCAGAAATCAGTAGGCTATTTTGTGGGAGCTTGGAAGATAAGAATTTTGAGAGTAATGGAAAGGATGGAGGCCTGGATAGTGAGATTCAAGAAGGATGCTGCTTGAGAATCCCTTAAAGATTATGGCAGGGCCATTGGCCATTTTGAACTAAGAACCACTAAAGTGATATGTTGAAGTTGATCTTGTGCACTGTGTATTCAGGTGCTGAGTTCTGTGCCCCCAAATCAGGTTGTGGTCTGGACATGGGCACTGTATTAACCAATGTGATGCAAAGAATGCTCCCCCTAATAATCTCTGATTGGATAATAAAAGGCTAGAGCCTATGACTAGGCAGGAGAGAAAGAAGAGACTTGAGATTAAGTAAGGGGGTCTCAGGTAGTGATTATGAACAGGAGAGAGGAGAGGGAGAAGAAGAAAGTCAACCATGCTGCAGGATGGACCATGAGCATGTAGCCAAGAGATGCTTGCCCTGAGGACACACATGGAATAAAGCAAACTCAAACGGTGAGTAGCATGGGGCCCATGTCTGGGATGTAGGGTTATATAGTTCAGATCCTGCCCAGTTTAGGCCTACAGCTTGTTAATAAAATTACCAGGTTTCTGTGTCTTATATTCCAGAGCTATATAGGCTGGAGTGGGGCAGAATCCCTCCTCCATAAAATCATTTCAACATATGGCACCTAATGTAGGGCTCAAATCGACAACCTTGAGATTGAGAGTCTCATGGTCTACCGACTGAGGGTTAAAAATACAGATTTTACTTATTGATGCTACCTTAGAGTGATGTCATACAATAGATGATGTGTTTTGTCTTATAGAGTTTGGAGAACTGAGATATTTACACACATGGATGTACCATGCTATTGATGCATGCTCAGAATTCCAACAGGCGCTTGCCTTAAACTCTAAAAAGGATGATTTTAAGATTAAACATTTATTAGAGATGATGCTATCTTGGAAATGCCTTTGCAAATCAAAACTGATGATGCTGAAGCATATGTATCCATTAGGATAAAACAATTTTTTTGACATTATGGCATAAAACTGAGACAATGTTAAAGAAAGCTGGTAACTTTACTTGGTCCACCATCACAGACTCTTCCAGTCAGGACTTCAGTTAAGCCCTCAACTTTCTCAGCATGGAGAGATTAGACAACAAATGCTATAGCAAATTTTCTTAAGACTGACTCAACTATTATCCCAATTTGGGGGTAGGGGAGCCAAAAGACAAATGACACCCCAAATCAACAGGAAACATAGAACTATGCCCCATTCTCAAAAGGTGGGATAGAGGTGTTATGGTTGTTCAGTGGGTGATGAATGTTTATTGTTGTTTTAGGAGAGTTGGTTACACATTGTTAACCAAGTTGGTCTTGGTCAGGGAGGAAACAGTAAGGGAGGTTAGATTCAGGGATTTCTTTTTCTCTCTTTTCCCTCCTCTTTTCTCTCTTATCTAATGTTCGGAGGAGAAAGGGAGAGAAGGGATGAAGAGAAGGGGTAATATGGGAATAATATAAGAATAATAGGAAAAAGGTAGATTATTGCATCTAATTTTAGACCAGAGAGTACTAACAAGCCAAAAATCTTATATTGGTATAGATCCTGGTATCTTGATGCAAATTTGAGGCTATATTTCGCTACAACATAATACATATATATATTTTTTCAACTCCTGTTTTAGACATTGTACCTAAGTGATTCTTTAAAATGCAACATAAGTTCCAATCCTTTTAAGGGCTGCTATTACAAACTGTTTAGCATAATTAAGAAATGCAAGTTAGCAGACAATCAAACTCATGGTCATGTTAGATACTAGTCTAATTAACAGAAATTTGCTTCCTAGGTTGACCAGATAATAAATAGCTAGTAGCAAGCAATATTTGCCAATTCAGATATACTAGATAGATGGTCTTCAAAAACCTCAGAGACCTACAGAATGTGGCATTTTAAGACATTTTATTATTTTATGTTTCTTTTAACTTGAGATATATCAGCTCCTGATAGCACCCCTTTATGCTTCAAAGATTATAAGCATCAAAGAATCTCCTTATGGGGTTTTCTTCAAACATGGCCAATTGCCACTGGGCAGGAAACTGCCCTTGCTTCAACTGATGACAGTATGCTATCCAAACTAGACAAATATGGATGCAGGAAAGTCAACTGCCAAGCTTTGCAAGAACAAGATAGGCAAGTCTTTCATTATTCCTGTTTCACAGAAAAGTCTACCAGATATACTGGGGCATAAGGTTGATGCTCCGATAACTCAGAGAAATTTTTGGGTAACTAACCAGACAGCCAACTTTCTCTGACGTTTCTATAATTTTGGAAGCTGCTTGCCTGCACTTCCTACTTAGATAATATTTATTCCTTCTCAGGTCTTCGATGGGGTTGAAGACCAGATACTTATAGTCTGACAATTAAGTCTTAAATTGTTTAGGATTTAAATTGTTTCCTGTTGATTTGGAGTGTCATTTGTCTTTTGGCTCCCCTACCCCCAAATTGGGATAACAGTCGAGTCAGTCTTAAGAAAATTAGCTATAGCATTTGTTGTCTAGTCTCTCCATGCTGAGAAAGTTGAGGGCTTAACTGAAGTCCTGACTGGAAGAGTCTGTGATGGTGGACCAAGTAAGGTTACCAGCTTTCTTTAACGTTGTCTCAGTTTTATGCCATAATGTCAAAAAAATTGTTTTATCCTAATGGATACATATGCTTCAGCATCATCAGTTTTGATTTGCAAAGGCATTTCCAAGATAGCATCATCTCTAATAAATGTTTAATCTTAAAATCATCCTTTTTAGAGTTTAAGGCAAGCGCCTGTTGGAATTCTGAGCATGCATCAATAGCATGGTGCATCCATGTGTGTAAATATCTCAGTTCTCCAAACTCTATAAGACAAAACACATCATCTATTGTATGACATCACTCTAAGGTAGCATCAATAAGTAAAATCTGTATTTTTAACCCTCAGTCGGTAGACCATGAGACTCTCAATCTCAAGAAGCAAGAAAAGATTAGACTACCTAACATTAACTATAAAAGCAACTAAAAACGATACAGAAAAAACAAACAGATACACCAGTCAGCTAGAATATAAATTAAGAAATGTGTTCTCAAAAGCGGGAATTTGATTTTATAAAGATAACCCTTTGGGGTTTGAGAGATAACTCAGTGGTTAAGAACACTGGCTGCTTTCTCAGAGGACCTAGGTTCTGTTCCCAGCACCTACACTGGGTGGCTTACAACTCTCTGAAACTCTATTTCCAGGGATCTCATACCCTCTAGTGCCCTCCACCTGAATATACATACATACATAGATGCAACAGACTAGAGAAAGTATTTCAATACAAAGACAAAAATACATAAATTCTTAGCATATAAAAACATCTGTCCAATGTAAACAGCATATGCACCCTAGTAGAGTCTACAGCAAGAGGAGAAGGATCTTCCAGGAACAGAAAGTCCAAGGTTCAACTAATGTTCAGAAACAGTCCAAGCAGTTTTGTTTTTATGCACACCACTCAGAAGCTTCTGAAAGAAGCAGCAGGAGACAATTACTTTCATTGTTTCAAAACTTACATGATGGCTTTCAAAGCTTCACTGGAAATTCAAACATATCCAAAGCAAAGAGGAATTGTTCTGGTGTAACACCTTTTTTATTCCAGTCATGCTTTGTGTGTGTGTGTGTGTGTGTGTGTGTGTGTGTGTGTGTGTGTGTGTGCTCTGTGTACAGCTATGCTTGTTCATGGGCATGTAGAGGTCAGACACTGATACTAGGTGCCTTCCTCTTCCACGTGTCACCTTACTTTTTCAAGACAGGGCTCTCTCTAAATCTCGAGCCCATTCTTGGCTACACTGGCTGGCCAGCAAGCCCTCTCTGATTGGCCTGTCTCCTCCCTCTACCCTACACCCATCACTAACGTTACATGAGCATGCTGCCAGGCTCACCTTTGCCTGGGTGATGGGGATCCAACTTGAAGTCATCATAGCTATCTCCCCAGAGATTTGTGGCATTATATGATCTCATAAATCATCATACAAAGAAAGGCTTACATGTGCACTTTAATGATTTGATAGCAAAACACAGGTTCTCCCAACTGCCACATTCTCTATTTCTCTCCCTCATCCCCTCTAACCTTGCTACATAGCCTAGTCTAGACTTGAACCCAAAAATCCTCCTGTTTCAGCTACAGTAGGACAGAGATTACAGACACGCCCCTACCCTCTGCTTGAGATTCTGTTTCTTTATAATGTTCAATTACTTCTCATTCCAAAAGTTTTACCTTTTTACCAGGAGAGGAGGGCTTAAAGGGCTTTAAAGAAGATTCCTTCTTTTCTTCTCTCCTAATTGGAGGTAAAGGATGCTCTAAAAAATAAGGATTAGTATCAAAATAGTCCTTTGGGTGGAGATTCAACTTGAAAGGTGACCCTTTGATTAGTCGATGGTGTTCTTCACTTTCTTTCTGTAAATTAAAGCGTTTGAAAGTTAGACACAATTCAAGACCAAAATCACCTTCTAAATTAATTGTACATGTGCAGACTCTAAAACACATGCCACTGGGTGTGCTGTTGAAAACATTCCCTTATGTTCAACTTTATGGTTAAAAAAGGAGGAGGATGATAAAGGAAGGAAGGAGGGAATGAGGAAGGAGGGAGAGAGTAGGGAGGGAATGAGGGAGGGAGGGAGGGAGGGAGGGAGAAAGGGATGGAGGGACGGAGGGACGGAGGGACAGAGGGACAGAGGGACAGAGGGAAGAAGGAATGAGACATGCCTGCTGATGAATAAGCACAGCTCTCATTTTGGACAGAATTTACTTGAGATTTAACAATCTGTCAGCTGAACAAGTCTTTACTACACTCCTGGTCATCAGGAAGGAAAGGCTTGGTCTCTAAGTGAAATCCCAGCTCCTTCCTGCTTTTTAGCATTTTTCAAGTATTAATGGAAACTGCTGACCTTTGGTGTCACATCTTTGACTGTAAATAAGAATACTATTTCCCCTTGATGTTGCTAAAGATTAAGTGAGATTTTGTAGAGAAAGAACTTGGCACATGGTTGGCCCTTAGTAAATACCAGTTTTTAATTCTAAGTACAAAAAAATATTTAGTGCTTACATTATAACATTTTCATATGATACTATTTCTAGCTACCTAATACTCAAGCAAAGCAAAAGCTATTTTTTCACAGTCTTATATTACAATCCTTTCTATGTGGAAGAACCAAGTTTAAAATTGCTAGCTTTTGATAAAATAGCAAAAATGTGAAATACAGATTTAGAAAGATAAAATGTTGATTTTTTTACATTTTTACACACATGAAATTTGATATTTCATCATTTAACAAACTGAATAGGGACAATTTAAATGAGATTAAAGTGTTCAAGACAAGACATTAGTAGGTTGTGTTGGCTAGATTTATCTCAACTTGACACAAGCTAGGATCATTTGGAAAGAGGTACTCTCAGTTGAGAAAAATGCCTCCATAATAATGTATAGTAGCATAACGACAGACACATCAATCAATGGAATCAAACTGAAGATCCAGATATAAGTTCATACACCTATAAACATTTGATTTTTGACAAAGAAACCAAAAATACACAATGAAGAAAAGACAGCTTCTTCAACAAATGTTGGGTAGCTGGGATAGCTGTATACAGAAGAATACAAGCAGATCATATCTATCACCCTGAACAAAGCTCAACTCCAAGTGGATCAAAGACCTCAATATAAAACTAGATGCGCTGAATCTGATAAAAAGAGAAAGACAGGATAGACTTAAATTCCTTGGCACAGAAAAGGACATTCTGAACAGAACATTGACAGTGCAGCTACCAAGAACAACAATTAATAAATAAGACCTCATGAAGCTGAATCTTTCTGTACAGCAATGAACATAGGGCAAAGCAGCAGTCTACAGAATAGAAAAAAAAGCTTTGCCAATTACAAATCTATTAAAGAATTAGTATCTAAAAGATATATATAGAAGTACAAAAACTGAACATCAAGAAAACAAATAAGCCAACTAAAAAACTGGGAATAGAACTAAGCAGAGAGTTCTCAAAAGACAATCAGCTAGAGAACTTAAATGTTTAACCAGGGAAACACAAATTAAAATTACTTTGAGATTTCATCTTACCTGTCAGAATGGCCAAGATCAACAAAACAAATGGCAACTCATGCTGGTGAGGACGTGGAGCAAGAGGAGCACTCGCCCATTATGAGAGGAGTACAAGCTATGGGAATCAGTGTGGCCATTCCCCAGAAAGCTGGGACTCCATCTACCTCAAGACCCAGCTATACTGCTCTTGGACATGTACCCAAAGGACACTTCATCCTACACCAAGGACACTCCTCAGCCATGTTCATAGCTGCTCTAGTCATAACAGCCAGAAATTGGAAACACCTGTGCCGTCTAGCAACTAATGAATGGACAATGAGAATATGGTATATTTATGCAATGGAATATTATTCACCTGTTAAGCAATGTGAAATTCTCAGGTAAATGAACAGAACTAGGAAAAAACAAATCATCCTGAGGGAGATAACCCAAAAAGACAAATATATGTTTTTTCTTCTATGTGAATGATAGCTTTTAAGCCTTTACACATATGCTACAATCTGAATAACCACAGAGGTTAAGGGCCTAGTAAGGGATGAGCAGAAAGGAGAGGCACTCTCAAGAAAGAGGAAATAGAAAATATTATGGAAAGATGAGGGGGAAATTAGAATAGGAGGATTAAATAGGGGGACATAGAAGTGAGGGGTATAGGAGGATAAGGGGAGAGACAACTAACACCGTAGGTCATTTGAGAAGCCTTATAGAACCTTATAAGCTGCTTCCTAAAATTCATACATATATTGAAATGGGAGTCAATAAATAACAGGGGAGACAAAGTCCCAACTAGACAGCTTATGCTACCGAAATCTCTAGTACCAGAAATGAGGGTCTCGTTGAGATGTTGGCCAAAGGAGTCCCATAAAAACCCCAAGCAATATAGGCTATTGATAAGACTATATATGTTACTCTCCACGACATGATGGTACAGCCCTATTGTTGAAGACAGTACTTATGTCATCAAAAACTGAGAAATCAGGCTGGTGTCTAACTACAAGCTTTACCCTGCTAATGTCCACAGTACTGGAAGGTATTCTGCATGCCATGGGAGGAGAATCAGTAAGTCTTCATCCTTAAGTCTCCATCAGTATCTCCCAACTGCATGACCTACAACAGCAATCTGCCTCCAAAATATACGGATGTAATTGTGACACAAATATTTTGGGAGTAATCAACCACTTTCTGATTGGATTTAAAGATTACTCAATGAGATGGAATCCATACCTGACACAGCCAAAGTGACCAAGAATCTAGATAGGTCATTTGCCTAGAAGAATACCCAATAGTATTAAGTCTGCTAAAAATAAAAAAATAAATAAAGCAATAAAATGACTCTTAATGACATATTGCTATACCCATAGATCAGTGTCTCATTCAGCCCCCATTAGAGAAGTTTCTTCTTGTAGTGTATAATTCAAACAGATATCCACAACTGAACAGTGTGCAAAGAGTGAGACTTTGGAGTACTCAGTCCTAAATGGAATGTTTCACCAAAGCCCTCCCTCCTGTCAAGGCTCAGGGATCAGAAGAGGAGGTAGAAAGTCTGTAAGAGCCATAGGTAATGGATGGCTCCAAGCAAACAGTGGCTTCCAGACACACCAGGACTGCTACACATAAAAGCCCAGATACTGTGGTGGTATCCATAAGTCCTGCATAGGTTCAAGCCAGATGGGGTTCCAGCAGTGAGTGGGAGATGTAGACACTTGTAACCTAGAAGCCATTAGCATTTGATGTCTGCTGGCAAAGATAAAGCCAGTTTTCTCCAGTGAGGTCTTACTGGGCTTCTTAACCACACTCCAGGGCAGGCCCCATGCCCTGGAGTTGCCCACCAATACAAAATGAACTCAATGGTATTTTTGTAGTCTTTTTGCCTGATTTTGATTTGTTTAGGTACTTTTTATCTTATTGGTCTTTTGCTTGTTTATTTTGATTTCCACTTTTATTGGTTTGTGAGGTGTGTGTGTTTGTGTGTGTGTTTCTTGGACTTTTGTGTGTTTTTTGTTTTATGTTTGTTTTAAAGCAGTAGTTTATCATCCTTCCTAACTCTATGACCCTTTAATACAGTTCCTCATGTTATAGTGACCCACAACCATAAAATTATTTTGTTGCTACTTCATAACTGTGATTTTGCTATGACTATGAATTGTAATGTAAATATCTGATATGAAGGGTACCTATGTGACCTTAAAGAGTTCTTGAACCACAGGTTGAGAACCACTGTTTAAAAGAGGGAGAACATAAAGTTGGGTGGGCAGGAAGGTAAGGATGATTGTGGAGAAATTGTGGGAGGGGAAAACATGATCAAAATATCTTACATGGAATAAAAAGGTTTTCTTCAATTACAAACAAAAGACTGCCACTAGGCAAGTCTGTAATACATTTCCTTACTTGGTGATTGACATGGGAGCTCCTGAATGCTGCCATCCTTGCTGCTGCTCCTGGGTACTCTAAGAAAACAAGCTAAGCAAGCCAGGAAGCAGTGTCTGGTTTTGCTTCAGTTCCCACCTCCAGGTTCTTGTCCCACTTGAATTCCTGCCCTGATGTCTCTTAGTGCTGGCGTGGGACCTAAGAGTTGTAAGTTTCACTAAGGCCTTCGCTCCCCAAGCTGCTATCAATGTTTTATGACAGCAACGGAAACCCTAAGCCACAGGCACATGCTGTAGCTCTCTGGGTTTTCACTCCCCTTGGAGTCCCCTCCTGCTTTGTATCCTGTTTCCCTGTAGAACTTAGAGTTCTTCCTCTTTCCGCACTGGAGCAATGGTCTTTTAACCATTATGGACATTATCCTTTGGATATTGTTTCTTAAAAATTAATTTTCATGGGAATCAATTCAGGTTATAAGCTATCAAGATCTTCCCTCAAAGACTTCTGATTACATTGCCCTGCAGTGTGGCCTTTGCATCAGAAATGCTAACACTCATATGATTCTAAAGCTTGCTATTAAAATGCAATTTAAAAACATTATGCGCATGGGTGTTTTGCCTTACATGTATGTCTGTTAACCACTTGCATGCCTGTTGCCAACAAAGGCCAGAAGAGGGCACTGGATACCCTGGAACCAGAGTCACAGGTGGCTGTGAACTGCTATGTGGGAGCTGGGCCTCAAAGCTGGGTCCTCTGGAAGAACAGCCAGTGCTCTTAACCACGGAGCCATCTCTCTAGCCCCACATAAAAATATTTTAAGACTCCTGTGTTTACTTGACTGTGGCCATCTTTTATCAGACACTATTTGTTTTACTAACTGCTGGCCTAGAATATTTGCTAATCAACACACAGATACCCCCATGAACAAAAGAGACAGGACAAAATAAAATTTTATTGTGAGTTAATTTTCAAAGTTGGACAAATAAAGGTTGAAATGTTCAAAACACATGATTTTACCTTATAATTCTGTTTTGCTGCATCGTATAAGTCAGAGGAGTGTGAAAGCTGCCTGCCTATGGTAACATTGGCATAGCTAAAAAAAGGAATAGGTCATAGTGAATGAGAGCTCAGGTGATTTTGTAAATTCAAAACAAATTATATAAAGTACTAGGAATATCTTACCCATATCCAGTTCCCTTTTTTCCTGGGTTGGTATATAAATTCTTTCCTGGTGGCTGATACTTGTCCCTGGGTTTTATCTGAGCACTAAAGAATGGGACAGGGCCACCAATTGTTCCATAATAGCTTCCCATTCCACTTCTTCAATGCCATTTGGAGTTTTTTAAAAGAAGATATGAAAATGTCAAATTCATGTTATATATTTATTTCACCACAAGTTTATTTTAAAGGATTTTAAAAAGCAGAAATCTTGGATGATTTATTGCACCAAATATGTGTTTCTTCCTGTGGTGTGAGAGGGCCTCGAATCAACCAGAAATCAGTTGGTTTCCCCTATGATTCATATAGCTATATATCCCCTATGTAGGGTTACTACAACTAAACTCATATATATATATATATATATATATATATATATATATTTATATATATATATATATGTATGTATATATATATACATATATATATATATAATATATCATATCTTTTATATATAATATATGGAATATATATGATATATAATATTTCTCTAAGAAGCTATAGGTTGTCAAATAAAAAGCCTAATATCAGCTATGGGATACCTCCCCTCAATTTTTAGTCAAACAATATAGGCTATCAGCATTACTCTTGGAGATCCACTAGAACTTGATAGTTTAGACCCTACTGGTGAATATATATGAATCACAGAAGATGGAGAAATTAACTTGGTACTGATCAGGAGTCTTCCTTCTTGATAATTACTTTTCATAGTACCAAAGGGGCTACGTAGCCTGCTGTAGTCAAAAGTCATCAACAGACTCATCCAGCTATGAACTGCAATAATGAGCAGTGTGGCAAACTATGCCCATAGGTACAACAGTGACATGAACCCACAGGGATAACCAACTGATTTCTGGTTGATTCAAGGCCCTCTCACTGCACAGGAGGAAACATGCCTGGTAGAGTAAATCTAGCCAAGAACCCATGATTGATAGAAATCTCACAGTTCCTGGAGGTGAACCTGCCACAAGTATTCTGCTAAATATATGTAGAATCAAACTGCTCTCTACCTTTCTACCTCTATACCCATAAGTTAATGCAGCTCTCAGACATCAACAGGGACATTTCTTTCTGCCGAGGACAGTGGTTAACTCAGAAATTCACAACTGGTCAAAGTGCAGAAAATAAGTATCAGTAGAGTGTTCACCCACACATGGGACATCTGTAGTACCTCCTCACCACAGGGCTCAGGGACCACTTCAGAACAGAGGGTGAAAGGGCTGTGAGAGTCAGAGGTTGGGGACGACCAGAGCAAAAAGCGTTTCTGGACATGATGGGACCACTATACTCCAGAACTCAATGCATTGTGGCTACATGTACAAGACCTTTGCAAGATCAAGCCAATAACATGGTAACACAGAAGAGGATGGAGCAGATGAGCTCCCTTTAATTTAGAAGCTATGGGCAGGCAATGCCTTCCAGGAAAGGAGAGTTGGCTTTTTTTTAAGGGTGTGGCCCCTAGTGGGTTCACCATGCTCCAGTGGATGGCCCCACACCCAAGAGTATGTGAACAGCATAAATTGAACTCTTCAGGTGGGGTGAGGGGTGAAGAAATGGAAGAGGGGAGGGAGAAGAACAAATGTGATTAAAATATATTGTATGAAGTTCTCAAAGAGTTAACAAAATATCACATTTATGAAAGAGTACTTGTTAGATGGAAGTCTGAAATATAGAAATGAAGTTTCACAAAATTCAAGAAAATAAGCAGGAAATTAGACTTTGATCAGTCCTTACCTACCATAAATTCTAAACTGAGAAAATCAAACTTATCAAGTGTGAATGAAAATCATATTTTAAGTCTTTGCTATATCAGAGACTAGAGTCTTGTGGCTTAATGAAAATAAAAAAATAAAAAAAAAAGAATTTTCACATTGACAGCTGCCTCAATCCAGCTACTGGAAAATCCCATGATTGTTATCATTATAGTTATTTAAAAATAATGTAACACTGATAAATTATTTTCTGTGTCTAAAAATGGTTTCTCTTCATTTCACATTCTTATTTATAATTTTTATAAGCAGAAAAAATATACAAAAGCATAAACATGGTTACCCTAGGAATTTTCCCCATTATTACTTTTGCAAATTTTTTGAAAAAAAAAATACATAACTTCATTATTTAGTTGGTTTTCATTATATAAAACAATAAAGACCAGTGACCCAGATAGTATAAAAAAATTATAAAGATCTATTTAAAATTACCTATCAGTTTGCATCACCCAAAGTAACTGTCTCCATCTAAGACAATCTATAGTTAAGAAACTGAATCCTACAGGAAAACATCTACTTTGAGTTAGAGAAAGTCAAAGCAGACTGGTAAGACATTTCCCCAAAGTACTTACGGCTTTTTCTCTCCACTACTAGGGATGAAGGCTTTGCCTAGGTTCTTTTTGGATTCAGCCAGCATATACCGTCTCCTCACTTGGTTCAAATTCACATAGCCTTCCCCCTCAAAAATCCTTGTAAACTGGGAATCAAAGTATCCTGCCTGGAGATTGGACATTTCTTTGGTTCCCCCTGGTAGCATCTGTCTATTTTTGCTTGCAGCCTCATTAAAGGGTCCTTCAAAGATAAAGAGCATTATAATCTTTACTTCAATCCTAATTAAAGGCAATTAAAACAAAAATGATGAGCCAATTCAGCGGTTGCACTGGTAAAACACTAAAAACTCTGCATGACGGGCAACCATGATATAGAACCTAAAGGGTTTTGTTGAAAATGTTTGAACATTTGGGCTGAAGAGGGTTGGGTTTTTTTTTTTTTTTTGCCTGTTTTTGTTGTTGTTTTTAAACTTGGTTGTTTTGTTGTTGTCGCTGTTGCTGGTTTTTGTTGTTGTTTTTTATTTTGTTTTAGAGATGGCGTTTCTCTGTGTAGTCCCAGAGCTCCTGCAACTCATGCTGTAGATCGGACTGTCCTTGAACTCAGAGACCTGTCTGCCTCTGCTTCTGGAAGAAACTAGGATTATAAGCGTGCACTATCACGCAGAGCTGGGGTGAAGTATTAAACACTCTGAACCTCAGAGCTCATAGAGACCTTAAAAGATCATCTAGCCCAGTGGTCCCTCATGGTCAGCAGGGAACAGCGCTTTTGTGTAATAAAGGGGGTTCCACACACTCACATAGAAGCAATCCTCTCCTCTATATACTGTGGCAAACACCTCTAATTCCAGTACTCAGGAGCTAGAGACAGGTGGATCTCTGAGCTGGAGACGGTCTTGGTCAACAGTGAGTTCCAGGACAGCCAGGGCTACACAGAGGAACCCCATCTCTGCTTAGGGGCCCATATTCACTAAGAACCTGTGTGTGGGGGGCTTGAATATTGTTGGCCTAGGGAGTGGCACTATTAGGAGGTGTGGCCTTGTTGTAGTAAGTGTAGCCTTGTTGGAGTAAATGTGTCATCATGGGTGTGGGCTTTAAGACCCTCATCCTAGATGCCTAAAAATCAGTCTTCTCTTGTTTGCCTTTGTAACAAGAAAGCATCTGCCTGGATGCTACCTTTAAGATAATGGACTGAGCCTTTGAACCTGTAAGCCAGTCGCAATTAAATGCTGCCCTTATAAGAGTTGCCTTGGTTATGGTGTCTGTTCACAGTAGTAAAACCCTAAGACAAGACGTATATAATTAAAATTTTTATATTGGAAATACATGCTATTTAAATATTTTAAAATACCAAAGATACTCACGATTAAATGGAGACACATATTTGTCACCCACGGTGATGTATTCCATTTCACTGAAGAGGCCAACCCTCTCCATATCTGTTTTCCCGCCTTCTATCGGCATGATTGCTTCTTGGGGTGGTAACTTCCCAAAGGTTCTTAGATCTTCTTTTGCAGCAAAATCCTACTTTACACTGAAAACTACAGGAAATTATTTTTAATGAAAAGAATGATTATTAAATGTCAAACTATTTATTTGACATTATTTTAAGTCTCTGGATTGGTTGGTTGGTTGGTTGGTTGGTTGGTTGGTTGGTTCACTTCTTTTATATACCCCCACAACCCCCATCAGATCAGCTTGTGCATAGCCTTTGTGAGACCAAACTAGGAACAATATACTTTACAGGCTAAAGTTTCTGTTTCCAGTTAAGGCAGTTAAGAATGAGTTCCACGGGGTGGAGAGACGGCTCAGTGGTTAAGAGCACCAACTACTCTTCCTGAGTTCAATTCCCGGCAACCACATGGTGGTTCACAACCATCTATAATGGGATCTGATGCTCTCTTCTGGTGTGTGTCTGAAGATAGCTGCAGTATTCTCATATAAATAAAAATAAATAAGTCTTAAAAAAAAGAGTAAGTTCCTATTGTAGTTAAAGACTAACTTTCTGTTTGTCCTGTGTTAAGTCCTTCCATGTTGAGGTTTCTATTTGTAATTAAGGATAAATCCCTGTTACTTTGATATGTAAACTGCAAAATATTTTTCAGCCTACACTAAACTTGCTACCCAATTCACATGATGTAACCTTGTTCCTTCCCTTTCATTGTTTTGTGTGTGTGTGTGTTGTTTGTTTGTTTACAATGTGTAACATCCAACTCTCTCAGTCCTGTGAACATTTATTTCATCTCTCTTATAAAAACGACCTCAAGAGGCCTAGAGAGTAGCACTATTACGAGATGTGACCTTGTTGGAGTAGGTGTAGCCTTCTTGGAGGAAACGTGTCATCATGGGTGTGGGCTTTAAGACCCTCATCCTAGTTGCCTAAAAGTCAGTCTTCTCCTGCTTGCCTTTGTAACAAGATGTAGAACTCGCAGCTCCTCCAGCCTCCCATCTACCTGGGTGCTGCCTTTATGATAATGGACTGAGCCTTTGAACCTGTAAGCCAGCCGCAATTAAACCAATTAAACCCACCGGTAAGGGGTGCTCTCTGAATCCCTTAGACTTAGAGTGAGAGATCCAGCAGGCTAGTCCGGGGCATACACCAAAATACTGTTTGCTTTAATTGGACAATCATGAATTTGCTCTCTTCTCCTCGAGATTCTCCTCGAGATTCTCAGGCTTAACACTTTCCCAAGCTTCATTAATGGTCATCTAACTTTCGTGGTGTAGGGACCCAGTGAACTGATGGCTCCACAGCTGGGAACCATTGGTCTGAGTTTGAATCCTTCTCACCACGTTCTTGTGGTAAAGCTATCCAGACTGGAAAGGAACTCCTGGAATCAAGGGAACCTCTGGCCTAGCCTCCATACTGGCTAGAACGACAAAGCCCTTTTAGTTATTTACCAGTGTAGCCCCAGCGCTTGCACGACCAGTGCCTTCAACTTTGTCCCGACCTTAGACTCTTAAGTAAACCTTACAAAGCAATTCATTCACACATTTAAGAAATGCTTTGCAATCCTCTCCTTCTGGACAGGTAGACGTAGGAAAACAGACTTTAAAAGGCGTAAATCTTGGTTTATAATCAAGCAGACAAGAAAATCGTGGACTTCTACCCAAGTAGAATATGGCAAGCTCCCTCCTAAAAGTTTGGATAAGAAGGCTCTTCTGTTACAGCCCTGCCGACTGCACCTTTGCAATTTACTCAATAAATCCTTTTCTACACTAAGGGAAAAAAAAGTTTGGCTAAAAGGGAGAAGCTGAAGAAAATAAATGAACCGATGTCTAAGTTATTCCCTTGGGGAAAGGTGGCATGAAGTTGGCAGATAGCTAAGGAAAACCCATATCCGCGAGGCCGAGTCACCTCTCCAAAAGGCACCTAATCCCACAACCAGGATCAGATGGACTCTGCTCCAGTCGGGGATCACTCCACTGCAGAGCTTGAAGAGCTCGGGGCCACGCGCCTGTGCCCGGGCTGGAGCCTGGGGCTCGGCTGCAGAGGCGCGCGCGCCGCACAGTTCCGCAAGCTGCAGCTGGCGCTTGTTGAGCCGCGTTGCCGTGGGAACGGGAGAACCCATTCCCAACATCGCTACCGGAGGCCTCGGAACTGTCGGGTCAGCACAGCGCGTCTGCAAAGATGGAAGAAAATCCACAGACTACAAAAGTCTCAGCCAATCAAAATCTCTCGAAGCTAAGCCTTCCGTTTCCCCGCCATCTAAGAATAGTTTTCGTGTGGTACGCTCCGTGATGGTTGATGCGAGGCATTCTGGGAGTTGTAGTTTGTTTGCCGGAGCCCCACCTTAGGCTGGCGTGACGTCACTTCCGGGACGACCCTAGCTAGCAAGAAGTAGGTGTACTTGCCTTCGCCAGTGGTGCTTGGTAAGTGATTCTGATTGTCAGTGACCTTCCGGTATTTACCCCTAGGAGTTAGGCAACCCTTAGGAGAATGGCTCCCGGCCCCTAAAAGGAGCTGCTCCTAAGGGGCCAAAGGTCGCGATGCAAAATTGCCTCATTTGGATCTCTTGCGGCTCGCGCCCTAGCAGCACCCGGTCACGAGACGCTCTAAGTCAGTCAGTGAGTGCATCCTGACAATAAGGCACTATTTATCGTATTTGGAAGCTGTGAAAACGAACTTTTGATTTTGAAAAGATAGGCCTAACTTCCTTAAAATAGTCTACTTCCTTTGCTTACGTGGCACAGCACTCCAATTTTCCCTCGTCTCCTAGCTCAGCCAGGTCCTGCCATCTGTACCTTAGATGATTATCTTCTGGCTTTCTCTCTGAACCCAATTCATAAATCTAGTTAACTGCTTCCACTTAATAGATCATTCAAACTCCGCAGTTACAGAGCTGGCTCATCATTTTCTGTTCTCCCGCACTCTTCCTTCAGCATATCCGTCTCTGCCGATAACCCAGCTCACTCCTCCTCGTGCCCACCAAACCCTTGACAAACTTGTATCAAGAACAGACAGTCAATAATCAAATCTGTTGGGTTCTACTTCTGAATGTCTGTATTATCACCCTCTACCATCCTTGGCCTTTGCCCTTGCTACCATCTATGGGTCATAGTCTAAGTGATCTTTTGCTTTGGTGTTAGGACAGAGACGCATAAAACCCTTGAACTAGCTATACAGTCAGGAATGACGCTGAAATCCAGATCTTCCTGCCTCCTCTTCCTAAGTATGGGGATGACAGTCATATAACGCCACATCAGCCTTCTTACATGTTTCAATCAGGCCTTCAGCAAGATCACTAGGCTTGGAATGGACATACACACACAAGAATACCTCTTTCTTTTGGAAATTTTAAGGCTTTTATGGGCTACCAGCCCTTCAGACCTCAGCTTAAATATTAGATCTTCATAGAGGAGCTTGATTTAAACACCTGAAGAGACCCTGGCTCTTTCACATACGATGGCTTAAGGAATTGTCATAGTAATCCTGGGAAGTACTGTATGATCTTTCCAAATTTACAGAAGAAAATAGACATGAATGATTATGTTGAGCAAAAATTGTACAATAAGTACTTTAGTCAGAACTTACTCTTGCTTGTCTTTTTTGTTTGTTTGTTTTTGTTTTTTTTGTTGTTTTGAGACAGGGGACAGGGTTTCTCTGTATAGCCCTGGCTGTCCTGGAACTCACTCTGTAGACCAGGCTAGCCTCGAACTCTCAAACTCAGAAATCCGCCTGCCTCTGCCTCCCAAGTGCTGGGATTAAAGGCGTAAGCCACCACCACCCGGCTTTGCTTGTCATTTTGATCTTCAGATTATATATTTTTCTTACTCAAATAATGTTATTCTAAATTTATCAAACTTCTTACTGGCAGTGCTCACAGTATTTTCCAGTTTTGTGGGGTTTAGTTATTTATGATAAACAACAGTAGAATAAATAGACAGCATTATGTATTAAACTTTTTTATTGTTCGCTTAGAATGAATTTAATGGAGTGAAATTGGGACAATTGGGACATTTGGTGTAATCTTTGAACAGGTTACAGTGTATAAAATAAATAAAAGCTGTCACTCCTGTAGAAATGTGACAAGAATTTTGCAAAATAAAAAGCTGCAACGGTACCTACTTAATAATGTTGTGACACTCAGTGGTAATATATGACCACTGTTCAGTCATTTAGTGCAGTAGGTATCAGTACTTGCTCGTTTGTTTCAGAATAGGGTTTGTCTTAGTTATTTACTGCTGTGAACAGACACCGTGACCAAGGCAGCTCTTATAAGGACAACATTTAATTGGGACTGGCTTACAGGTTCAGAGGTTCAGTCCATTATCATCAAGGCAGGAGCTTGGAAGCATCCAAGCTGGCATGGTGCAGGAGGAGCTGAGAGTTCTACATCTTCATCTGCGGGCTGCTAGGAGAAGACTGGCTTCCAGGCAGCTAGGACAAGAGTCTTAAAGCCCACGCCCATGGTGACACACCTACTCCAACAAGGCCACACCTCCTAATGGTGCCTCGCCCTAGGCCAAGCATATGCAAACTATCACAGGGTTCTTCTTTATTAGTGTCTTTTGGATTGCTGTAATAAGATACCATGCACATGACCAAGAGTTTAGTTGGGCTTACGGTTCCAGAGATAGTGCCTATGGTGGTGAAGCAGAGCCTCGTCGTGGTGAAGCCTTGGAGCAGCAAATGAGAGCTCACATCTTCACCCACAAGCAGGAGGCAGAGAGCATAGTGGGAATGGTGGGAGTCTTCTGAAGCCCCAAAATCAGCCTCTATGACACACCTCTTAATCCTTCCCAAACAGTTCCACCAGCTCAGGACCAAGAATTTCAACTTGAGCCTCTGGGGACCATTCTCATTCAAAACACCGCAGGTTCTAATCTTTGAAAACTTTCCTCCAGAAACAACCTCACCACACACACACACACATATACACACACAAACCCAAACACGTTATGATACAGATCTTTTGTTATATATTCATTTGCTGCTTGAAACTCAACATATGACTCCAAGCTAAGACCTGCGAGTCTCTTCCATTTTGCAGATGCTTCTTTTTCTCTCTATCAGTGGCAACCGTTATCTAAGCCAAGTGAATTCTGTCTAGCACACTCTCTCCAGCCCTGTGGTGTTCTCATTGCTGCACTTAGCTTCACAAATGGTGTGTTTTATAAATTGATGAGTTCTTACAGCTTGTCACCATCTGTAGTTCCTTTCCTCCTGCTGGCTTAGCCACAATCTCTCCACATGCTAGGCTCAGTGTTCTTGACATGGTTTTTGTTGCTGTTGTTGTTTTAAGAATTACTTATTTATCTTATGTATCTGAGTCCACTGTAACTATCTTCAGACACACCAGAAGAGGGCATTGGATCCCATTACAGATGGTTGTGAGCCACCGTGTGGTTGCTGGGAATTGAACTCAGGACCTCTGGAAGAGCAGTCAGTGCCACCTTTCCATCCCCCTCTTGTTATGTTCTTAAACTAGTTTTTTACCACTGATGATTTCATATCATTGCTAAATACATCAAGATGCTAATGCTGACTGGAGTCGTTCTGAACCTCTTTTTCATATTGTAATCACCATGAAAGGAAGCAGGGAAGGCTCTTACATATTCTTGTGCCTGGACGGCCTTATGCTGTTCCAGAATTCGGAGACATTGACCTCCTAAGTGTCCCTAATATGGGATTCAGGTTTGAAAACTTTTTAAAAAAGAATTACAGGGGTTGTTGTATATTTGTACATAAGGAATTAACTCATGAAATTAAGTAGAAAAATCTGGTTTAATTAATGCCATATCCTAACTGACGTATATTCTAATTCATATGAAGTCGAGTTTGTCTTGAATTTCAAGAGAATTATGGTTTCCTTTGTTCTAGGTGGTTTCCTAAAACTATGATCTATGGATATACTCTTCAGAATAAGAGGTGGCTTCGATCTGGCTTTTCAGCTAGCACCACCTAAAGGTATGTCTTCCAAAATGTCTTTTATCACAGACTTTATAATGATATATATTAAAAATTCCTCCATACTGCCAAGAAAAATGAGTGAATGAGATAAGAAAAACAAACTCAAATTAAAATGGGATTCAATAGAATTGTATTCCCATTACAATTACTCCCTTAGCAGCCCACAGGTCAATTCTGGTTAAATTAGAAGATTTAACCTTCCTTTTGAACTTTTAGGGCTGTCTTGAAGAAAATTGTCACACAATGTAAATACAGTTCTTGAAATTATATATTGTAGAGTTTTAATAATGTGTTACCCATGTTCTGGTACGAAACTCCTTTAAATACTATAGTTTATTGGAATGTTAGAAGGAATTCACAGGAAAATAAAAAAATCAGCATGATTTGTAAGAAGCAAATTCCAGGATGTCTTCTAGCTTTTGCCTGAGGCTCATGGCCAACCCTGAGATAAGGAGTGTCCAGGGAGGAGTGTGGAAAGTCGGGGCTGACATATGGTACTCTTGAGATGCCACTGAAACATCAGATTCAGAGTTTCAGTGAGCACTTGGTTGAATCTGAAACTTCGGGGAGTATAGTCAGAATGGGAATGGAAAACCCCGAGGTCAGAAGGGCAGCAGCTAACTCCCTCCCCGAGGATAAACTACTATGTCAGTTTGGAAAGTTGATGGAAGGTAAGTAGTGAGACTCGAAGGGGCAGGAAGACTGCAGAGAAGGGCAAGGTTTCTTTCTGAGGCAATGAAAGTTTTAGAATGACTATAAAAAATTTGTGTTGATTGTAAATTTTTATAGAAATTTACTAAAAGCCATTGTGTGGAACTTATGGTCTCAGAACCCAAAAGATAGAGAGGCTAAAATGGTGATAGTGGTTGAAAAATTGGGTGGGTGTCTGAGAGTCGTGCCTTCTACCTTTGTCTCATGTATTAAAACCTTTGTGTTGAAAGTTCATAATATTTCTAACTTTTGTACTGTTCATTTAGAAATGTTTATCAAGAATGCACTAAGACAGGTGCTGAGTGACCTGACTACCAAGCTCTCTTCAGATGCTCTTGTGTTCAGAATTTGCAACAGCTCCGTGTACATGTGGCCGAACAGTGACGTAAGCACGGGAGAGCTGACTGATGACTCTGCTTGTAAGAACGCAGTACACTTCATTCAGTGAGTGTTTAAAGAGTTTCTGGGAATATCTTCAAAGCATCGTATCGTACTTGTAAATGTCTTTCTATATCAAAATTTTAGATTCAATCAAGAGGAGGATACCAAGCAAAAATTCATTAAAAAGAAAGACAAAAAGTTAACTGACATGGTAAGCAAATCTTGTTTTCACTACTGATTAACAAAAAAAATGAAATTCTTGAGTTTGGAGCTAAGCGAGATGTAACTGACACTTCGTCTTGCCCTTGTAGAATATTGAGGCCTAGAAATGGTACATGATTGTTTTACATACCTAAACATTTTTTCTTGTTGCAATGTGTAATTTTGACGGTTTTATTTTACTTTGCTCCTGGAAAAACAAAACTGAGTCTTGTTCTAACCACTGCAATGTTTTTCTAGGCTGGACAGGAGGCACTAACTAAACCACTAGGTACGAATATGAAAGTGGGGAGACCCGACCATTATCTTGGCTTCTTTTCCCAGGGATGCAATATAATACTCTGACCAAACTAACTTAAGAGAGTTTATTTTAGTTCATGGGGGTAAGTCAAGGCAGCAGGAATGTGCCGCAGCTGGTTAGAATGAGAGAGCAGTAAATGCATGCCACGGTTCAGTTCTCTTTATGGATACAGTCCAGGGCCCCAGTCAGGAATGGTGCCGTCTCATTTAGCCTATCTAGACCTTCCCAACAAGCGTCTCCCAGGGCATCTCCCGGGTGATGTTAGATTCTAAGTTGGCAGTCAGCACTACCACAGACACATTTAGGAAGCACAGTGAGAGGTATTGGACTTAGTTGAATATGGCCTAGCTAGTTCCTTCCTTCAGTAGACATGAAAGGTAGGTGTTGCAGTTTGCTCTCTGTTTCTTTGATGAACCCCATGACTTAAAGCAAAAGCCCATAACCACTTGGGGTTGGAGGTTATTTGGTTTATAGGTCTCCATCACAGACTTTCACTGAAGGAAGGCAGAGGCAGGAATGGAAGCAGGAAGTAGGGAAGACAGCTGCTTACTGGCTTGCTCTCCTGTCTTATGCTTGGCCATCTTTCTCATGCTACCCAGAACCACCTGCCCAGGGATGTGTTACCCACGGTGGGCTGGGCCCTCCAACATCTGTTGGTAATGAAGAGAATACCCTCAAGCCAGTCTGATCAAGGCAGTTCTCCAGTTGGGTTTCCTATTTCCAGATGTATCCAGTTGACAGCAAAGATTAGCCTACATGTTGAGGAAGTTGAGGTCAGTTTGGGCTGTATTTAAGACACCACTGAGATATACTGATAGGCTGGGGTTTGTACATGTGGAACGTACAAAAGAAAGCATGGTTTAGAGATAATGATTTGAAAATTATTAAGAGGAGTTTACCCTTTGCAGAGTACATGGTAGTACATAAGTAGTATGTTCTCCAATGTGGATTCATTCTGTGCTTGCTTCTTTTTTTATTTTTCTTTTGGTTTTTCGAGACAGGGTTTCTCTGTGTCCCTGGATGTCCTGAAACTCACTCTGTAGACCAGGCTGGCCTCGAACTCAGAAATCCGCCTGCCTCTGCCTCCCAAGTGCTGAGATTAAAGATGTGTGCCACCCCTGCCCAGCTGTGCTTTGTTCTGATTAGATCTGTATATCATTAGCTGGCATATCATAGAAGTTATATTGTGTCCTAGCATATCGTATTAAACAAGCAGGTGCTTTCAACGTGTTCTACATTGGTGGTGTTGACATTTTTGTCAGTTACTTATGGTATTTGCCAGTTTTATAACTGTTAAAGTACTGTGTTTTCTGTTATATCTAATACCTCAGGGAAAGACAGTATGAGACTGTAGGTACACCTCATCATAGTTTTACCTACCTTCTCCTAACCCTAACCTGCTGTTGTTAGAACCATGTTCCAGGTGTTCTTCCTACAGCCCAAGGAAGCCATCAAACATGGGGACTAGTACCCCATTGATAACAATATTAATCTAATGATTGAGAAACAGAGATTTTTCTAAGTCTGGCATTTCTGTGCACAAATAAGCTTTCCCCTTTTCTTTTTAGTGTCTCAGAAACTGGGGTATTGTATAACTACTTCCTTCTTAGGTAGAGATGGAAGGTGGAGACTTATGGGGTGGATTCGAATCTGTTGCCGTCATTAATTATTTTGGGTTTCTTAAAGACTTTGTTTTATTATTTAATTGTGTGTGTGTGTGTATGTGAGAGAGAGAGAGAGAGAGAGAGGGAGGGGGTGAGGGGGGGGGAGGGGGGGTGGAGACAGGAGGCTTCTGATCCCTCTGGAGATGGAGTTACAGGTGACAGTAAGCCATCCAATTTGGGTTCTGGAAACTGAACTCCAGTCCTCTGCAGCAGCAATTCACCTTAACCTTAAGCAGTACTGAGCGGTCTCTATAGCCCCCATTAGATATTTTGACATTCATGTTTCCCAAGATTTGGTTAATACTAGCTTCTTCAAGATGACTCTGGTATGCTTTTGAAAATTTTCTTCTTGGTGCGTCCTACTTTCATCCATAAATTATCCCAGATGTGTCTTTCCCTGTTCCAGTTTGGTCAGCCATTCTCCTTGGAGAATATAAACATATATGTTTATATACACATACAGGCACACATATATGCATATACATGTTTTACCTGCATAAATTGTATACCTGTGTCCAGTTCCACTTCAGCCTTACAAAGTTCACAACTAATCTGAGTGAGAAGCCTGGCTCCTAGCATTCTCTATTCTGTTAATTTGTTCAACACACAGAATGTAATTTCAAAATTTTTCTATACCAAGAGTGCATAGTATTTTGGTTTGGTGCTTTTTGCTTGATGGGCTTGTTGTTTCACCATTGCAACTCTGGTTGGCTTGGAACTTGATAAGTTGACCAGGCTGGCCTCAAACTCAAAAATCCACCTGCTGACCAATTTTACTTGTATTTTTTGTTTGTTTGTTTGCTTTTGTTTTTCTTTAGGTTTGGGCAAAGATGGAAAGAATAACATATTAAGCCAGTGAGCTATACGCACAGCTCTACTAATAAACACGTGGACAGTCTGAGTCCGTCTTTACTTAACAATTACTCTAGATTCAAAGATTACTTTGAAGCAAAGGGATTTCCTACAGTTACTAGCTTTATATATCCTTTAAAACTCTACCCTTTATATTCAGTGTTTACTATTCCACAAGCTGACTCTTACTATCTGTCTGTATAGCAACAAATAGTAAATATAGATCTCATGCTGGAAATATCGACCCCTCTGGGAGCCGTAACCCCCATCATTGAAAGGGAAAATGAAGAACACCACTACATTAATATGAGCTTGCCAATTGATGCCGTTGTATCTGTTGCTCCAGAAGAAACATGGGGAAAGTAGGTATTTTTTATAGTATCACTGCTACATTTAATTGAAGTAATCAGAACTTGGTTTTTAAAGAACATACAAAGCAATGGGCTGTTTTTACTGTGCTATACTTCTTGTTACCAACCTAAGAGCCATTGAGTAATTAAATATTTATTTGGAAGAAGTGGGATGGCATGCTGAAACCCAGAAGGCTTCCCTTTACCCACCCAGAGCAAATACAGTTACTTTGACTTTGCATAATAATAATTTAGACTTTGCTTGACAAGCCTCACAGTAAGTGTTTACTCCACTCGGGGCGTATCAGCTAAACATCATGTTAGCGGCTGTATCTTCTGTTAATTCACTTAAATGTCTTTTCCTACAGAGTGCGCAAACTTCTAGTGGATGCAATTCTTAACCAACTAGTTGATGTGGAAAAATGCATCTTGAGATATATGAAAGGAACGTCTATTGTGGTCCCTGAGCCATTGCACTTTCTATTGCCAGGGAAAAAGGATCTTGTAACAGTTTTATATCCATCAGGAGTCCCAGATGATCAGCTACAAGCCTATCGAAAGGTAAAAGCAGATTGTTATTATTAGGAAAAAGAGTCTCTTACTCATTTTGTGCTTAATTATAATTTGCAATAAATGTAAATTACTTTGTGGTTTAATTTAAAAGTGCAGAAATGGGCTAATTTCTTTCATGAAATTTTTTTTGTAATGAAAACATGCTAGCTTAGTATAGCATGTAACACCTTAATTTCAGATGCTCAGTGTGGCTCATATAAAATTATGAAATTTTATCATTTTCTCCAGTGAAAATAGAAATGAAAAGATGCTTACATGCTTAGAGTAGCTGATGGATGTTAAGAAATTCCTTTCCTTTTCCCTCTGCTCCTCCCAATTTGTGAGAAAGACTACAGTACATACAGCACAGGGGAAAGTGGAGTCTGTGCTGATTCTGATTATGTATGGAAATGTCACAACCACAAATAAGCTTATTGAAGTTTCAGTAGAGAAGCCTTAGAGAGACGTGTCCAGCATTTAAAGAAATGAGATTGATCAACAGAAGGACTGGTGTTTAGAATCTAACTTTTGGCCCTGTGGCCTTGCCTGGCCCTCATTAAATCATGTTCTAAACTCTGCTCCTGAGAAGTAATAACACAAACCCCTCCACTGTTCCAGAAGTTGGAGATAAATTGATTTTCAGCTACTACACGAGCTAACCTGCTGAAACCACAGGAGTGTGTTGGAGATTGGCCAGACATTGTAGTATAAGGATTGTATGTTTTTATGCTGTTGAGAAAATAATGCTCTAATCCCAGCACTTGGGAGGCAGAGGCAGGCAGATTTCTGAGTTTGAGGCCAGCCTGGTCTACCAAGTGAGTTCCAGGACAGCCAGAGCTACACAGAGAAACCCTGTCTCAAAAAAAAAAAAAAAGAAAGAAAGAAAGAAAGGAAAGAAAAGAAAAAAAAAAGGAAATAATGCATTGGAGATACTGGTCAGTGTTTCCATTCATGACATCTTGAATGTTGAAGTCACTGACTTCACTGTATTTAATAACTGCACTTAGATGCCTAAAGTATCATAAACATGGTTTTCCAAAATACTGTGATATGTCATTTTGAGTTATAATTTCTGATTTACAAAACTCCCAATTCTAGCAAGTAATTTCACATTTCTATCTTCCCTTCTGGTTCCTACTAGAGGATTATAAATTGGTCTCAGTTTATTTATCCATTGACCTTAATGAATTAAGTCATGTCTTTTTTAAAACTTATGCCCAACGTATTTTCCATTTTATAATCCTTGAGTTTGACTGTATTGACTAAAAATCTAAAATTGTTTTTTTATGTGTATTGATTCTGATTTTATTTAGGAGTTACATGATCTCTTCAGTCTGCCTCATGACAGACCTTATTTCAAAAGGATCAATGCTTATCACTTTCCAGATGAAGTATATAAGGATGGCTATATCAGAAACCCACATACTCATCTGAGTCCACCTAACATAGAGGGAAGTATGGTGAGTCTAAGTAGTTTTCATGACTTGAGTGATCATTGTCATTCATTGTTTTGGATTGGTCCCCGAGAGACATTTTTGAGAACTGATTCATATTGTGTGTCATCTCCCTAAAAGTTAAATTATCACCGCTAGGCGCGGTGGTGCATACCTTTAAATCCAGCATTCAGGAGGCAGAGGCAGGTGGATTTCTGAGTTTGAGGTCAGCCTGGTCTACACAGTGAGCTTCTGGAGAAATCCTGTGAAAAACAAAGCAAAAAAGAAAGGAAAAAGACCTCATTTAAGATAGCTGTAATTAGTGGGTGAGAGATGGCTTAGTGGTTAAGAGTGTTTGCTGCTCTTCCGTAGGACATGAGTTCAGCTTGCAACACCGACATCCCCACATAAAGCACCTCAGAGATGCTGCTGCTGCAGCTCTGGGAGATCTTAGGACACACACACACACACACACTCACACAGAGTAACACACGCAAATACACACACACAGAGTAACTCTTCTTTTAAAAAGATTTAAAAAGGTAATTAGTTGAGTGATAGCGCACATGGCTTTAGCCTTAGCAAGTTCCTGCTACCCAGAGAGACCCTGCCTCAAAAAAGATAGCAGTAATTAATGATATACAAGGTTTATGAATAGAGACTACTTACCACACATCTCTTACTAACATAACATTCTCTGATTCCTCTAAAGGTTTGTTCCTTTCTTCTCATTCTGCAGCTGACAGATCATGTAATTAAGATCTTCCCAAGTCACAGTATGGACAAGGCTAAGATGCCTTACCTACTATACTAGCATGTATCTGCTTGCAAAGATAGACTCTATATAAGTAACTTAGGTACCTGGATTGGCACAGTGAGGACAGGCATTAAATTAAGGATACATGAAGGCCACTAGAAAGAACCTCATTGTCATCCAAGAGAGGGATCACAGGAACAGTAAGGCCACGTAGAAACAGACCAGTGCAGTGACTGGAGCTGGTTCAGGCTTTCCAAAGGTCTGGTAGGCTCCTTGCTGGTATGCTGCTGCTTTCTCTGTGTTGGCTTCTGGTTGCCCTTTCTCTCCTTGTCAGCTTCTGCCTTCTGTATCTACATTGTTTCAGTTGTGTAGAACCTTTTCCTATTCATCTTTAAGCTGTTCTGCGTGCATTCTTAGCAACTTGATCCTCTGCTCGGATTGCTGAGTTTACTGTGCAGGTCTCAATTTACTTTCCAAAGAAATTGTGATTTCCATTCTTTCAGTACCGTCTGTGTGTCTGGGAGCCTTCTAGGAAATCTTAAGAATCAAAATGAATAAATCTATGATAACTACGAGAGAACTGAGGAGCCCAATTTTAGTCTTAGCCATCAGTCAGTACACACATGTAGCAACAGCCCCATCTGCAAGGGCCCCTGCCATTGGAAACAGCGTTAGCTGGATGCCCTCCGTTTTGTGTGTGTATTCGTGAGTCAGCACTTAGAGGCGTTAAATGACTTCACTTACTTTGAGAAGACAGGGAGAAGTCCCAGGAAACTATTGTTAAAATCTTGCTCTGTCACAGTCATAGATTAGGAAATGGAGTTTATAATGTCACAGCAAAACTTAGTGGCCCTCTACAAGTTCCTGACTTAAATATTTTTCTCTCAGACTAGTTTTAGAACTCCTCCATGGTATGACATTCTATTGTTTATTTTAAATTCTTATTGGTTCCTTTAAAAAAGCCTGGAGATTGTAAAGTACTAAGTGCATGCTGATTGATTTTGACAATAAAACAGACTCCTTATCCATGTTATAAAATGCAAGAGTCATCTTAATATTTATAATATTTGACCTGTATATATTGCACACATGTGTATATACACACAGTGATGGATAAACAGACAGCGTTTCACAGCATAGCAAATGGGTAACTAGGAGTTTCTGTTTAGTTAAGAAACAGAACATTTCTGATCTCTATGCCCCTGTGTCTACTCACTACCTCAAGATAGTCCCAGATACATAACTCTTACACATCCTCCATATATGGTTGTTACACGTCTGTGCATTCAGCCAATCCTAGTTCAAAAATGTTTGCAGAAAAAAAAAGTCTGCACTGAATATATACATTCTCGCCTTGTCATTATTTCCTAGACAATATGGTGGCCACTTATATAGTATTTTCATTGTTTTTGTCTATGATATCTGTGATAATATAGAGGTTGTTTAAAGTACAAGGGAGGATATGCATGGGTTATTAAAAACATTATGCCATTTTTCATAAAGAGCCTAAGTATCCAAGGCTTTATATGTGCATTGAGTTCTGGGACAGAGTTCTGTGTCTGCTGAAGGACCATTGCACAGAGACACACCATTGCACAGAGACACAGTCTTCCTTTCCTCTCCCACTGTTAAGAGCTTCCTGCGTATGAGTCCATATTAGGTATACATTACTTTAGCGATTCTTTTTGAGTTTTATAAAACCAACCATTGTATATGTAGTCTTCCACAACTTGCTTTTTCATTCAACATTCTGTATCTAACATTTATCTTATTCTGTCTCGCTCTTGTTATAAAAAATATCTGATCTATTCCTGGGTTCTATTCCACCTTTGATCATTTAGTTCCTGGATAAAAGACACACAAGGCCTTTAAATATTTATAATAAACATTTATTAGCACTAATGCTGGGCAGATATCTACCCTGTATGCTATTAAAATTTGTTTCGTATCGATAACCCCTAGTTACATACTATGTTTCAGGGCTGCTCTTAACTCCAGTCAGCCAGTCCTCACGGCCATGCTTTCTTGACTCCTAACCCATGGATCTTTCTCCACTCTCCACCTTCTCTCTCTCCTCCTTACCTGCAACTCCCTCTGAAACCTCTAGTCTCACTTTTCCCCTCCACTGCTCAACCCTAGGCTCTCGTCTTTTATTGACCAGTTAAACTGGGGAGAAGGTTCATATGGCATCACTTGAGTACATGATGGTTTGCCACCTCTAAGGAACCAGTATTAGCATTAGAATACAAGCAGCATCAGGCCAACCCACTACACACTCTGGTTTGGTTAGCTTGATTCCTGTGTGATACACATTAGTATAATTTTTTCCAGGTCTTTTGTGATGTTAGGCAGTCTTTTATGAACATTCCCATTCATGTGTCAGGTGCATATGTATGTGAACAGAGAGAGCTATGAACTTCATGTTATTTGCCCCTAAACACTTAAACTGATCTCCCAGTAACAATGGAGTTGCGTTTGTCATACAATCCCGTTTACCATGGTCATTGTCGTCTCATTCACTGCTGGATTCAGTTTGATAATATCTTATGAAGACTTCTTCATCTCTATTTATAACTGATATCTCCTTATAATTTTCTCTTAATTAAAAAAAATGTATCAGTGATCTCCAACCTATTAAATGAGTTAGGGAATGCTCCATCTTTTCAATTTCCACAGTTTATATCTGATCAGTTTGTTGTTTTCTTGACCATTTGAAAAACGACCTGGACTTAGCATTTTCTTTGTGAAATAATTCTTTAAGAGATTTTATTTTAATTGTGTGTGTGTGTGCATGCGTGTGTGTGTGTGTGTGTGCATGTGCACGCACATGTGTGAAGATGGCTGTGGAAGGCAGAGGTGCTGGATCCCTCTGGAATTGTGAGCTGCCTGAGGTAGGTGCTGGGAGCTGAGCTCAGGCCCCTAAGGAGTGGGATGCACTCTTAATGGCTGAGCCATCTCTCCAGCCCTTTGGGAACATTCGTAATAGCATTCAGCTTTGTTAGTGTTTATGAGATGTTTTTGATTTTGTGAGTCATACTTACCTAGGTTTTGATTCCTCATCTACTTTTATTTTCTTTTTAATTGTTCCTTATCACTTTATGAGTTTTTTCCTTTCTGTTTGTTTTCCTTTCCTTTTTGTTTTACCTAACAATTTGCCTTTAATGACCCTTCTTTATAACTTTGGATTTCTGTCTCACTAACTTTAGAGTTTACTTTGTTTCTTTGATTTAATGTGTTTATTCTAACCCTTTAAATCGGAACTTAGCCTGTTGTTAATCTTTCCTATTTTCTATTGTCAAGTTTTAAATTTTAGCTAAAACAGTACTTTTGTTATACTCTCTAACTTTAATTTGAAAGATTTTTGTTTTGTTTACTTTTAAGTATTTTAATATTTATAAATGATGATACTTCAATCTTTTAGAAAATTATTTAATGTCTAACATTTACCTGATTTTTTCCTTTTCTTACTAGTTTATGACTATTGTTAGAATTTCTAATGCAGAAGTTTTCTGAAGCATCTAAAAGATGTATTTGTTTTGAAAGCTGTGACAGACAGGTGATACACAGTGGGCAGCTGCATACTGTCGGAATGTGTCTGTCGTGGTTCTGGAAGTGGAAGTCCAAAACTAACATTACTTGATTGAACTAAAAGCATCCAGGGCCATCGTCCCTGCACAGGTTACTGAGGGAGGAATCATTCCTCGCTTCCTCAGCTTCAGGCAGGTGCTAGCATCTTGGGCTGTGCTCACACCACTTGGAGCTGGTTCCTCCTGTTCCTCTGTGATAAAAATGCACATGTTGGAGATCAGGTTGCAGATCCTATAGGGAGTGGCTAGTTTTCTTCCTACCAGAATGGTCTAATTAGACATTGTTAGTTTATCCTCTGTCAACCTATTGCCTAATTGTCTTGTGAGTGCCCTTTCTTTCCTCACAACTCTGGCTTTTAAAAAATAATATGCTTGAACATTTCCCAGTAAAGAAGTGTGGACAAAAGGGTATTCACTGTTACACACTACAGCTTCCACAAGGAGATTTTTTTTCCTTTGGGGGGGTGGGGGAATCTTTACAATGATTCAGGGCAGATACGAGTGGGATTGGGGTACATGATGTAAAATTCACAGACAACCAATAGAAGAAATTTTAGACTAGGTTTTGTCCATAGAAGTGTTCATTTTTAGCATCATGCTACAAGGAAGTCTCTAAGCGTTCCTAACACACACTTTAGTGGCAGATTTATAAAACTGCAGAAACGTTATTCCTGTGACCTATCATAGGACCTGTCCCATCAGGTCATGCAGGACCTGCTTTTGTGTGCTTCCTCCATTTCTTCCTTCCCTCGGGCAGCATTTCCTCAGCAGCAGCAGCAGTGTGTTCATCAGCTCTGTGCCCTGTCTTTCTGGAAGCTAGGCCAAGAAGTATTTGAATAACACATTTATATTTGAATGACAAAGGCTTACTAGCCCACATGCTGCTGTGCTGTCATTGAAAAATATAACTAGTTATATTTGAAATAACTATAATGACTTTGAAATTTAAATATGTATATGCATGCATACACGAAGGCAGTAGAGAGTCAGTAGCCACGACAAAGGGGAGGTGGTGAGAAGTGAGCCTGCCATTTTTAAATAGACTGCCATGGAAGCTTCTGGTGTTTGCAGAGAGACTGAAATGAAAACGGGGTTCATCCTATAAAATTAACTGGGAAAAGGATATTTCCAGTCAAGAAAATCATAAGTCTTCATAATCAGATAACCGTGGGCATATTTGAAGCTAAATTAAATTAGCAAAGGGGAAAGTGTGGGAGTGGACATTGTTAATACAGAACACACATCGTTCTAGGTTGGTTCCTGTGTAGGTCCATGGGTAAGGACTCTGGACTTACAGGAAAAAGCCAAAAGAATATCATGCTAAGCCACTGTTCTGGGAAGGTATTTCTATAAGGGTCTGAAGCAGTAGTCCTCAACCTTCCTAATGCTGTCACACTTCAGTATAGTTCCTCATGTTTTGGTGACTCCCAACCATAAAATTATTTTTTGTTGTTAACTTCTTTACTGTGATTTTGCTACTGTTATGAATCGTAATGTAAGTTTTTGTGTTTTCCAATGGTCTTAGGCAGCCTTTAAGGGGTTGCAACTCACAGGTTAAAAACCACTGACCAATAACAAGTAAAAGTCCAGTTCTCAAAGCAGTAAACGTGACTCAGGTGTTTCTACAGAGCGTGTACTTCTATCTTTAACATTTTACTACATTTCTTCTGTTTTATAGATTTGTGTGGTGCAGGGCATCTATGCCTATCATCACTATATGCAAGATCGGATAGACGACAACGGCTGGGGCTGTGCGTATAGGTCCCTACAGACTATCTGCTCATGGTTCAGACATCAGGGTTACACAGAAAGGTCCATCCCAACACACAAGGAAATTCAGCAGGTACAGAACTTGCCGTTTTAAATTATAATCAATTGTGTATTCCATTGGTTTTTAATATGTCATCGATAATTATTATTACTCTGTGGCATAGATTTATTTTTATTGAAATGTTTTTTTACTGGTAATCAAAATTCCCTAAATATAATTTTAGTAGCTGTCTTACATATGTATTTTTTTCCTTCTTGGTACATAAAGGCTCTAGTTGATGCCGGCGACAAGCCAGCAACCTTTGTTGGGTCACGGCAGTGGATTGGGTCTATTGAAGTACAACTGGTACTGAACCAGCTGATTGGTGTAACTTCAAAAATACTGTTTGTCAGGTAAGGACGCTTCGGAAACCAGATACATCATTTACACATAACAGCTTATAATTTTTATTAAAATAATAGAAAAATGACGTTTTCTCCTTATTTCCAGTTATCGCTTTTCTTTGTTATCCCCTTGCTTTATAAATCTCATGCTTTAAAGCAAGCTGTGTTGTATACATATATTCTCTAGAACTAATTTTAGTCTACATGTGGAAACTTCGAAATATATTATCTTTGGGTTAAGTTTTAGATACAAAATGTAGTCTACTAATGTTTGAATCTCCTCAAAGTCTAATAGGGAGAAAACCAAATGTTGGTCACTGACCATTAGGTGTTTCCTTTGCTTTTTTTTTTTTTTCCTTTTTTGCTAAGATGTGAATAAGCAACCAATGTAAAAACAATATATTCAACTTACATTTTCTACAATTCTAAGAACAAATAAGAGATAATATAAATTATCACATATCAATTTATGTGGCCATAACTTGTTTTTTATTAACGTTTAAGAAACACCATAAACATTATACTGCATTTTCTCATATATAGTATAAAATACTCACTTTGCTAAATGAATTATCTGTAACATTATTACAGTCAACACCAAAATCCCTCAAGAGAGAAACTCCTTGGCTCAGGAAGCAGGTCCTCCTGAGTTTGAGATTCCCCAGGCTGTAACAGACACGCCCTCAAGGCTGAGACAGACAGAGGCCTGGGGAATCACACTTGTGCTTTGGATCCTACAAAGAGAGATTTCCAGCCAGTAAGGATTGCTGCATGGGGAGGAGGAAGAAAGGGCAGTGTCCTCATGGCTCCAGTCCCACAGGGAGCAGTGGGGGATTCAGGGAGCCAAGCTTGGTCAAGGAAAAACCATTTAGTATGCCATGGAGACCTGACGCCCCTGTATTTCCCTCAGTGTCCAGACTTGATTATGGGCATCGTGGTTGTCCATTAGGGTGAGTACACTTCAGAAAGTTCTGGACAAGGCAGTTTGGGGGTCCTAATCTATCACCCCAAAAGAGGATTCTGGCTATGCCTAATGTAATAATCAATTACTCTGGGCAAACTAGTTCCTGGTGATCCCACCTTATCCAACTCCTGAACACAACATAAAAAAACTGGGAATGAATTTTCTTCTGTTTTGTTAAATAAATAAGTTAAATATTTAAAGACTGTGCTTCCATGGACTTACTTTAAACTGCTTATTGTGAAAAGACTTTAAACTGTCTTGTATTAATAACTACAGTAGCAGTATCTATTGTCCAAGTATTTAAAATATGTTTGATCTCACAATAGGAATTGTGAGAATCAGTAAGAAATAATGGCAGATAAACTAGTAAAGAATTCTCTTTAGAAATTTAAGTTTGAGGCAAAAGAATTTTTCACCAAGCCTGACTACCCAGGTCAATCCCTAGGCCCTCCATATGTGTGCCATAGCACAAGGGTACACATGCACACTCACAGAATACAGACTTTAAGAAGTTAAAGGATGGTTTGGTTCATTAAAATATTTGTATGTTAGCTGCTCAGCCAAGAGCTTACCAGGTTTAACAGTACCTGATACCTCCACAAAAGTAATAAACTGATAATTCAGCTTACAATTTTTTTGTTTACTTTATAATGATATGAAATTACTTTTGATCTTTCAAATAGCAATCCAAGACTTAGATATGATGACAGTAGCTTCCAGTCTGAGCTCCCAGTTACCTTTCATGGAGGGATGAAGGTGGGGTGTGCTGCTAGCTCTTCTGTTGTTAGAGACAGCGAATTCATTTCACTCCCAGTATGTTCATTTCAGAATGTTGAGGAATATATGTGCTTTTCCTTCTGCCTGTCTCTTCTCAAAAGTGGAAAGTACTTAGAATACCCAAATGCTCCATGAAATACGGTGCACTTGAAAACACTTTGAGGTTTTCACAGAAAAATATGTTAATCCTAAAAGCTCCTGGACAAGTGTTATTGATTCTAATTTAAAGATAGAAAAAACATAGACTTTAAAAAATGACAAAATGACCAGTTTCAAGCTCATGTTAAAAATCCAGATTACCCCGGTTAGAAATCTTAACAATTTTAGAGTTTATGTTGCTTTAAGTTACAGTGAATCAGGTCCCTACCACTTAATTTGTTTTTCAAGATCCACAAACAAAAAGAGTGAAAGTATTGATCCCATCCCCAAACTCATTACTTGACTGAGTGTTGAAAATAGCTATCTGATAGAAGATGATTTCTTTTTATTTAGCCAAGGTTCAGAAATGGCTTCTCAAGGACGGGAACTAGCCAACCATTTCCAGAATGTGGGCACGCCAGTAATGATTGGTAAGGTGTTTTGTACATGTTGGGTTCTTTGGCAGAGTGGAGAACAAGTAAAATATATTTGTATGTTTTAATGTTATATAAAAACAAGTCATTTTAAACATCTTAAAATTGGGTCTGGAGAGGTGACTCAATGGTTAAGAACACTGGTGGCTCTTCCAGAAGACCTGGGATCAGCAGCACCTACATGGTGGCTCACAATCCTCTGTAGTTCCAGGAATCTAGTGCCTCTTCTGGTCTCTACAGGAAGTGCATCACATGGTGCACAGACAAAGATGCAGGCAAAACAGACACACACACACACACACACACACACACACATATACATATAAAATAAAAATCTAAACATTTTAAAGTAAACTTATACACACTGTTCTTTGGACTTTAGTTTCCAAAGGGTAGAGAAGATGCAAAAAAGAATTAGTTACCAAAAATAAATGCTAAAAAGAAAATAATAACTGTGTTTGAACAATTAAAGAGTCAAGAGTAGTATTTTTTTTTTTAAAGGTGATAGCAACTTGACTAAGCATTGTAAATCATCACCCTCCTGTTGGTTTTATGACACAACAGACTACTTACATTTTTTGGGGTTTTCTCTGTAAAATAAGATTTGACTACCTGAGCTAAAGATACATGATTCTCTGAAAAATAGCATAAGATCAACTACTCTGGTGTTTAAGAAGTGGAGGTAAGAGGATGTCTGCAGAGTCACAGAGATCTGGACATGCTCAGCACAGGCAAGAGGCCCTGCTGGAGGAGGCGCCCCTGCTGGAGGAGGTGCCGCATTGAGCTTTACCACACCGGAAGGAGGCTGGCCTCTTGCTGGGCCTCTCTCAGTTGATTTTAAGAAACTTTATGGTTATAGCAATGGAATATGATTATATAGTCATAGCATTTTCTACATACTTCCATATGAACCAGTCATTAAATATGTAATCTTATCCTTTAAGTATATTTGCTACCATGGTCTTTTACAATATCTGACAGTCTGTTATAATGCCGTCAATTAATAGGAAAACGATCTGTTTATTTGAGCTGAATAGGCCATCGAAATTAGTTTACGCCCTATTACATACTTCTCTTTTCTAGGGGGAGGAGTATTGGCTCACACAATACTAGGAGTCGCATGGAATGAAACTACAGGGCAGATCAAATTCCTGATTCTAGACCCACACTATACAGGTGCTGAAGACCTGCAAGTGATGCTGGAAAAGGTAACTGTCCCTGTCACATAAATGCAAGGCACAAGGCAAGGAGCAGAGACGGCTGTTAGCAAAGAAACCAGGCAAGGGCAGTAGTCCTCAGTCTGCTGAGTAACTGTGCTTCTATGTAGGGAAGATAGGAATATGACAGACACCACAAGACTAAATGTTTATAAAGGCTTTGCCATTTGCTACGCTTCATAACAGAACGTGGCACGTTGCCTTTACAGAATCTATAGCACATGCAGTTGTTTTGTCTCATCAATGTCTGAAAACAAGAGCAGAATAAACTTTCTCACTTTTAAAATTGGAACTAGGGACTGGGCAGCTGATAGCTCTTGCCTTTTTTACAGAGGAACGAAGTTCAGTTCCCAGTTTAGTTCAGTTCCCAGTATGCATTTCATGAGGCTCACAACCACCTGTAAATCCAGTGCCAGGCTGGATCAGCATCTCATGTACAAATGCACATGGACCCTTAATAATTCTAGGATCAGTTCACCAATAAACAAAACACCAGTCATTATGAAGATGTGGCTGCTTCTCACTTACATACATGTAACATAAAGCTAAAGATTGGAAGTTGAGGCAAGTTTGGAAGCATTTGTTGACATAGTATCAACTACATGGGGTATAAATATAAATTGATTTATAGCCAGCGAATTCTCATGACAGGCTGGTGAGATGGCTCAGCAGATAAAAACTTTTCTGCCAGCCCTGATGACCTAAGCTTGACCCCTATACAACATGGTTGCAGGTCGTCCTTAGGCCTCCACAGTCACAAAATAATACATATGTTTCCTTAGATAATAGGAACACTTTCCCACTCAGGAGCAACCTATCGATTGTCTAGCACAGGATAGAAAAGTTCTTTTTCTTCACTTAGCAAACCCTTGAATTACATCAGTATCTGAGTCTTATGCCGAGGTCCTGCTGACAGACCTTGATGTTAGAGTCTCTGTCGTGGAGTCTTGTGTTGTAAAAGGTTTGTTCTCCTTTCTCCCAAATCTAGGGCTGGTGTGGATGGAAGAGTCCAGACTTTTGGAACAAGGATGCATACTATAACTTATGTCTTCCTCAACGACCAAATGTTCTTTAAGTTATCTTGGAGTTAAGACTATAAATATAAAAGAGCTATTCTGGTGTTAATAAAAGCATAATTTTAAATTAAATCTTAGCTTCGATTTAATTTAAAAAGTAGTAAAGAACATACAGAAGTTTTAATTCCTTGAATGTTCTTTTAATAAATTAAGTAATAAAACATGCACATGCAAAATATTGTAGTCATGTAAATACATGTATTCATGAATGTTCTCTTCACTCAGAAGAAAGTTTGCCTCCTCAGGAGTTTAGCCATGTGATAAGCCAAAGCAATGGCCTGTAGATCTGTCTGAAGTGAAGCCCTTCCTCAAGCCTCTTCTTTCCTCTTGCCCAGCAAGACATCTGTTTTGGGAGAAGAAAACCATGTTGAGACTAAAAACATTTTTAAGGGGACGGGAGAAATGGCGCAGTGGTAGGAGTGCCTGCTGAATAACTGTGAGGACTGGAGCATGTATCCCAGCACCAAGCAAGATACACTACAGATGCCGGGCCTGCACTCCCAGCCCAGGGGGCCCACGTCCTCTCCTGGCCTCCACGCACACAGGCACATGAGTGTGTGCACACACAAGCACACAAACAACCTTAAAAAGACTTTTTAAAATAGGTCTCTCCCCAAATTCCCACCATACAGGACAAATTTCTAGAAGGTGGTTAATAGTAACTATAACCAATGATAAAATTTTAAAAAACAAAAAATACACTGGGCCTCAGGTCAGAATGCCAATATTAAGTGCAGCAATAAACTATGCTGGAAGAGATACCCTGGAAGGAGGAAGCAGGCAGCAGCTGTGAGCCACTTACCAGCACTTTCTCTTCAATGCTCTGTTCTCCATAGTCCTGAAGCTCCGCTTCTGTCTCAGCACAGGAGCATGGGGGTCACCCTCGGGTTGCTCACTTGATAATTTTGCTGTCTGCATACATTTAATCATTGTTAGGAACCTGGCACATTCTGGAAAGCCACATGACCAAGCAAGATCTTCTGGCGTTTGCCCATTCTTATTACATATGCTGAAATTAAACAAAAATTAAGTGAAAACTACTGTTTATTGTTTTTCTAATAAAGGGAATTGAAATACATATCTACCCTGGGAACAGGATAAAAGAAAGGTCTCACACTCTTGCAAACACACACACACATCACACAGGGATGAGGCAAAGAAAGCTCGGGGAAATTAAATTCTGTTCACTGCCGTATGCTGAGTGGCTAGCACATTGCATATCATGGACATTCTATTGTATTTTTATTCCATTATTGTATTTCACTATTGAAAGAATCTGAATGATTACAAGAATATTTGGTGTTCAAATTCACTATATTTAACTATATAGTTCAATAGATAACCAACGAGAACTTCTATAGGAAGAGTTTTCCTAAGCTAAAACTGTAGTAGAATCTGCCATGAAGACTTGCACCTCTGAATGTCGAGGATCTCTTTCCCCTTACTCAATTTGACAATATTCAGTTACTGGAAGGATAACATTATATTACCAGTTGGGCAAGTATTATTTTTAAGATCGTGTATAATTAGTCTTTAAGAGTATAGTTAGTTTAATCCAAGAGAACACCAGGCCTTAAGCCACTGATTTTATACTCACTCAATCTGGACATCACTGGCCACAAGGAGGCTAAGGCATTCCAAGCTTCCAACTTTCGCTGCTTTGTGGAGTGGAGTTTCTCCCAAAACATCCTGTAGGACAAGACCACACATTAGTGTCCCCACAACATCTGTAGAAGCCAGTGGACAATGTAATACCAGCTATTTAGGGAAGCCAGTGAAAACGACCTTATAACAACAGGATTACTCCATTTAATTGTATTTTTCATAAAGTTCTCTTGCTGTGGTAATAAAGTTTCCATTAATAAAAATATGTAGCCAGCAATATTCCCATACATTAAAAATTAAGGGAATGCCAGGAAACTACAGTTCTATAGAAGCCAAAGGTTTATAATTAAAAACTTCATCACACTCTAATGAAGATGAAAACTACTTGAAGAAGTGATGCTGGGCATGTCTCCCACATATTATTTCCTGGTTGACAGAGACTTGGACAAATATTTTTACAAGTACTCTAGATACATGCTATATCGTGTGATAGTCAGTAGCCATCTATTGCTAAAGAGTATTTGAAATGTGATTAGACTTAATTGAGCTATGCCATAAAAGTAAAATACATACTGAATTATGAACTATGTATGAAAGCAAAATAAAATACCACATCAATATTTCTGATATAATTACATCCTGAAACAGTATTTGGGGTTAAATTATTAAAAGTAATCTCATGGCTTGTTTTTGTTTTATTTATGTGGATACTAAAAAAGTTCCAAGTTACCATCTTGCAGTATATATTTTTTTTCCTGCAAATTCTTATATGCCTGTTTATACTAACTGACACTGGCAACTAGGAAATGTCTGTGCAAACACTGGGTGGAGGAGAGGGTTTTACATAGCAACAATCGGTTACCTAGTTACCTGTTGGTTGAGGTCAGCGCCTGTTTGCAGCTGCCAGAGAAGAAAGCAAGCAAGGCCGCCACCTGCAGCTAGGTGAACAGGCGACTGCTCCTGAGGATCCGGGGGTGCGTTGACTGATGCTCCTGTCTCCAGCAAATTCTTAAGACCATCCTCCTGCAGGAAAAGAACAGATTGACACTGTCGTGTCTTGCTTGAGCTCTCTGAGCTGAAAATTCACCCCGCCACGAAAAAAGAAAACAAGATCTGACAAGGTTTGACCTGGAAACCCAGCGGTCTGTCACTGTCACGCTTGCTAGAGCTCCCAAGGCAGAACTCTGGGAGATCTAGACTGTAGGACTTAAAGGGGCGAGAGTCTCACCTCCAGGTTGCAACTAAGCAACAGCATCGCCCACCTAAAGCAGATGACAAGTGTCCCCGGGAGTTCAGAGAGGCGACACTGGCTGGTAAGAGTGCAAGGGACTGCCCCAGTTCGGGAGAATTTAAAGCTCTAGGGGACCTGCCGGGTGGCGGCTCCTCCCCTCCGCTCCCTAGCCTGGGAGCGTCCCCAGCGCCTAGTAGTGCACAGCGCGGTTTTCCCAGCCCTGCAGAGGCCTCACGTACCCAAACACTGACACGTGCCGCCGGGAACCCTGAGCGAAGGGGACGGGGCGGAGCCTGCAGCACGGCCTGCCAGATGATTGGCTATGCCGACCCCTCTGGATCCGCCCCTTTGGGAGCGAAGCCCGGGCGGCTGTAGCACGCGTGCGCAGTGGAGGCAGTGGGCGAGGAGGGTGGAAGGCCCGGCATTTTGCTTTGGCGGCGGCCATGATGCTAGCAGGATTAGGCACGTACCGCCGGGTGGAGTCAAGCCCTTTATCCCTCTGGAGTCAAGCGGAAGTCGCCTGTGCTGGGGTTTGTGTCTGAGAGCACGCACGTAGCCCGGAAAAGAGGGAAGCAGAAGTAGCCTACACCCACCCACCCACTCCGCAGGCTCCGAGTCCTCCGCCTCCAGCTTGGCCCCAAGGAGCTTCCTTCTGCCTCACGTCCTCCACTGCGGCGCGCGCCTCAGGATGCTTTGGAACGGGATTCCGCGGGGGCGTTAGAGGTCGCGGCGATGGGACTCTTTAGGAGATGCTCTCCCCAAACTAAGTGAATTATCAGCCAGTGCTGCCAGGTCCTTTGTGAGCAGGGTGGCAATTCCTGTGAAATAAGCCACCCATTGTCACACATCCCCTGAAGGCCCGAAACCGTCCTGTTTCCGGAAATAGCTAGTGAATACAAGGAGCTTACCAAGGGGATGGCCTTCACTCTGGTTATTAGGAATACTGAAAGGAAAAAATAAAAGATTACAGTGAAGAAAGCAGCCAAATACTAGGCCAGGTGACTATTAGCGTTAGTGATATGCTGACAGCATGAACTACTGAACCCCTGCGCTAGGACATGAGAAGGGCTCCACCAAAACCCAGCATCAGATAAGCTGGATCAAAAGGAGTCCTCACAAGATACTTGGCCCATACTACTCAAAGCCTTCAAGGTCATGATAAATCTGAGAAACAGACCAGAGGAAACAATAATTTAGGGAGAGATTTTAAGACAAACATGGCATTACTGGTAAAATTCATGACAATGTAATAACTACAAACTTTGAATTCCTGGTAATGAACCCTGTTGATTTCTGACTGTGGTAAAGGTAATGTTAAAAGGAGAAACATAAAGGTAAGAGACTATTAACTGGTTATACCTCAAATAAAATGTATAATTTATTTGAAACAGAAGACTATGTAGTTTAAAATAGTCTGTGTTTCTTCCTGTAAATCCTAGCTACTAAGGAAGTTTTATTTAAATATTTGGTTTCCCATTTTAGTAAGGATTCTTTTTCAATAGTTGTAACAGAAGATATCTGAACCAGTATGAAACTGGCTTTAAAGACCAGCAAGTTTCTCATAGTCACAGTTCTCCCAACTAGTCAGAAAATTCTCAACCCTTTAGTTTCACTAACCAATGTATTCCCTCGATAAGATGCACTGCCCATTGTGGTGATCAAAAATCTTAGGCTGTTCCCTAGAACAAGGCTTCTTAAAACTTCTTCCACTCATGGCTCCTCATTGCCTGAAAAAGAAAAATTGTATTTAACCCTAGTTGTATAAGTGTATAAAACAGATATAAATCAAATCTAATAATCTAATTTTAATACAATTATTTCATATGTATATAATTTTATCATAAGATTATAATGTAATTTGCATACTAACCTGAGATCAGTCTCTAGCTCCCACATTAATAACAAAATAAACAAGGACCGCTACCTCTGCCTGTAACTCCAAAGCTGTGTAGGGAGGGAACATAGGAGAATCTCAGTCTCTCTCTCTCTCTCTCTCTCTCTCTCTCTCTCTCTCTCTCTCTCTCTCACACACACACACACACACACACACACACACACACACACACGACTATTTGAAAACCTAGCCATCTAGAAAAATAACAGTGGCAAATTCTACCTTGGGGCCAGGATTACAGTACCAAATATAATATTCTCTCCTGAGGAGCCAGCTTCAAATCCAATCAGAAAGCAGTTACCCCATAACAGTTGTGCCACTGTTGTAATAATGGGTGCATGTTGCACGCTTGGCCAGGTAGGTATTGTTATATGTGGAGTCCAGCACTAGGTAAGAAGCACTCACCCAGCAGACTGCACTGCACCTTCAATGAAAGCTAGATAGCAGGGAGTAGTTTCTAGTAGCTTTGAGATAGTGTCTTTGCCCTGCAGCCATGGGGTATGGTGTCTTCAGCAATAAAGTTTTCCCACGTACTTTGGCAATGGCAATACTTATGTTGTTTTGGAGACTTCTGAGGTCTCCCAGAGGGATTCCATGCCTTTCATTGCAGTTTTCCTGTAATAACCCAAGTCTTCTTGGAGTGCTCACCCATAAAAAGACTTCTTTTTAAATAAAATGTTCCTCCCAGCACTTGGGAGGCAGAGGCAGGCAGATTTCTGAGTTCGAGGCTAGCCTGGTCTACAGAGTGAGTTCCAGGACAGCCAGGGCTACACAGAGAAACCCTGTCTCGAAAAACCAAAACCAAAAAATAAATAAATAAATAAATAAATAAAATTAAATAAATAAATAAATAAAATGTCCCTATAGTTGAAATATAATTTGTTTAACTTGAAACATCTTCTTATTAAAAATTCAAATATGTTGAAATATTAGCATCCCATTCAAATTAACCTTTGTGTCTAAGAAGAGAAAAATAAATTTTGATCTTACTAGTCAAGTAATAGTTAAACCAAATGAAAGACAGTGCAATGGGTAATGTAAAGATAAGTCTGCTCAAAGTTTTCAGTATATACTCAGTATGTATATTTTCTAGGAACTTTAAATAATATACAGTTTTAAACAGTTGAATTTTCAACCTTTAACATGGCTTCCTAAATCATCTAATAAATCTGATTTTGGTTTTTTGTTCTTGTTTTTGCTTTTCTGTGACAACTTCTCTATATTTAGATCCCTTGAGATCACTTGCCCTTGCTTTCTGCATGCTGGGATTAGAAACAGGAATCTATAGAACTAGCAATAAGCCATTTTAGTCATTAAATTATCATATGCAGATATAATTGACAGTGTTCATTTCTGAGAAAATTAGACTTACAAAAAAAATCATTGCAGTTATGCACAGAAATTTCCTATATCTAGCCATTTTTAGACCCTGCTGAAATTCTGCTTCTTACTCAAAAGAATTGGAAAGTAGAGCATTCTTTGAAAAGAAAGTCACCCAAGTATTTAGAACTTGTAAAGTTATTTTTTATTGTAGAAGTAATTACATCTTACTCATAGTATTACACATTGGTGACGATCAATTGTTTAGCAACACATAGTTAGATTCGAATCTTCGCTCCATTACTGCCTAACCTTCCTGAAAATTTACTATACAAAATCCAGAGGATCAAACGACACAGAGCTTGACAGGGAGAAGGCAGGAAACAAAGAATTGTTGTTGTAATGGGGTGCGGGTTTTTTTAAAAAAATATTTGTGGGTTATAGTCTTTGATCAATCTTATGCATGCATTTTTCTCTTTTTCCTTGGGATGGGGGAGTGGGGGGATAATAAGATTCAAATTCTTACAGGAAAAGTAGGCAAGGATGGGAGGGGGTGGAGGGAGGATGGCCAGCAATAAAATATACTTAAGATAAGATCCAAAGTGAAATATTGATTCCACCTTTGAAACTTTCTCAAACCTTCCACCAGCTGGTGAGTATGACTCAAGAAAGGACATTTCAGATTGAAAGTGGGGCAGTGAGAGCAGGAGAGTCCCTTAACGCAACCCCCACTTTCAAACGGAAGACCACCTTTTCCTCCTAGAAAACACCTCTCCTCTGTCTTGCTCTAGAATCGAAATCTGTGACTTCTCTGAGAAAGACACACCTTTCCCAGAAGACTAAAGACAACTGGAACTTCCTGTTACCTGTGAATGATAAGGACTGGGGCAGGACAGGCGACCTTGTGGGTCTTTCGGGGTTGTTTTCTAAAGAGTTGGGTTTCCCTGCTTGATGTATTCCTGATAGTCATAGGTCAGCAGATCAGTTTAAACCTTGCTGCTTCAGATTGTTGTTTTGTTTCTACACTCAGCTGTTGCCACGCTCAGAGGATGAAGAATAATTTTCCAAATTAAAGAGCTTTATTCATGTACTTTTACTAGCTGATCTCTAAAAGTAAGTCATCTTTCTACCATGCATGAGCTTTTCTGTGCAAACATTCCATATACTCTCTATATAATCACTAAATTATATGTATTTCTACTTACCATTGGGTGTTGAATGAAATCCACCAAGAAAGGAGCTGATAAAAGCTCAGTGGTAGAGTACTTGCCTAATATGTGAGCTCTGGGATTGATCCCTGATGCAAAAGGGCAAAAATAAGGGGGCTAAAAATAGAAAGCAAAACTCCCCAGTGGAGCAGACAGACTCAGACTGCTTGAAGCCTGACTCAGTGGTCTGTGCTGTCTCATAGGAACAATTAGAGCCCAACTGAAAATAGTCACTGGTGCCTCCCCTCATGGGGAGTGTTATAAAGCGCACTACCTCCAAATAGTGAGCTGTTCCCTTGAACTCTATTCAAATATGACCCTGGAGGTAACCAGGTAACCTCTTTATTGTCATAAAAAAGACCCCCATCCCTTAAAGGACACAATGCTCTCTCTGAGAAATCACCTGTTTCTTTCTATCTACAGTGTCTATCAAGTGTCTGTTAATTTGGGTCTGGGAAATGCTGTTGCACACACATGTTGGGCTCACTGTGCCTGCTCCAACACCCAATACTGAACTCATAAAAGGACCTGGCAGCCATAACTGGCCAACATAGGTTTCCAAACAGGAATCACTTGGATAAAAGACAGGATGGAGGAAGCATGCAAATCCTATTTTTTGCAGTTACCATTAAGATTCTTGAATATATAATCTGTCTTCATCAGTTTCATTGTTCACAGAATACAAGGTAAATTGGAAAAAATTAAAGGAAAACCGTATTTGGCTGTCAGTGAATGCTTACTATAGCCTAGCGGGTTGTAATAGACGTCTTCACTCCTACCTTTTCCTTCTCATTTCAGAGAATGATGGAAACTTGCCACACCCCAAAGGAAGGGCATGGGAGCAAGTGCTCTAAGTAAACAAATGGGCTTTTCTAGAAAGGAAAGAAAATGAAGCACTGCCTGCTTCAGTATTGTCGTGAGCTTCCAGTGAGAAGGATTTCCTCTAACTTTCTCTCACTTGTGGGTAGATTATATTTTCAGTTGATGCATGACTGTTACTGGCTTGTCTCATGGAGACTGCCAGAAGACCAGACTCCTGGGTCAGAGACAGATACCTTTATTCCTCACTGTAAACGACATGCCCAGGTTTGTCAGCATGATATTTGAGCCAGTTCCGCAGCCCACCCTGTTCCCCAGCTTTCACAGAGGTGACTCAAAAGGCCCCTAGAACAGTGATCCATCCGGAGACAGCATTATGAGAGGCATTCTAAGCTTGGGCAGTCCAATGCCTGTTAGGAGAAAGCAAGCTTGCCCTCTGTCTGTGTAAATACAAGACCTTATCCTTTAAGGTTACTAACTGGAAGCACATGCCTGAGAAAGACTCAAGGAAGAATACAACAGAACCTTGCATTCTTCTTACATTAAGCCATAGTGTTCAGGAGTGTGCCCCACGTGGATTGCCTCTTTTAGTAGGGCAATGATCTAAGTGGTTTGTCTGCCAGACTCATGACGTTTTAAGGATAAATCCATAGGAAGAGGTGGTGTGGTCTGTTGTCAGTTAGCATTCAGAGCAGCTGACTTCAGAGGCATAGGAAGAGGTGAAGAGGACCTGAGAAGGGAATGTTGTGTGTGTTTCACCCACTCTTCCTCGAAAAGCCACAGGTCCTGGCTATGGAGATGGTCATGGTTAAAGGCACTTAGTGCCAAGCCTTTAGCATCTGAGTTTGATCCCAGGACTCGTATGGTGGAAGGGGTGAACTGACCTCCTGAAGGTTGTTCTCTGACCTCTGTACTCGTGCATGAAAACACACACACACACACACAAATAAAGAAAGAAAGAAAGAAAGAAAGAAAGAAAGAAAGAAAGAAAGAAAGAAA